ATTTCAAATGATTGAAATTCTTCCAGTAGATTCCATAACTTACCTGGCTCCAGGGGGTGTAACTTGAAAAGGCATATGATGAACATGAGAAACTACAAATGTTGGCTTCAAATATCTATTGGATTCATTTATTTCACATACAAAGCTGAAAATAATGTGTGAAAGATAGATTCAGTTCTATAATTTCTGATTAACACAATGATAAACAGACATATTCCTTTATCCTGGAACAACATTAAAAAAATACAGATACAATAATTATATATACATTATTTCTGGGTGGCATAGGCATGCAGGAGAGTGAGAAAGAATTAAAACTGAACACTATCTTGCATATCCCACATATTTCCCAAGTCTATATGTGGAAACCAAATGAGGATTGATGCACAGTAGGATAAGGGAGACAACTCAGTTGATCAAGCGACCTATCTGTGCACAGTACTTCAACTGAAGCAGTATAATATCACAGTTGTTTGAACTGTCATATACACAATGAGTAAACGAGACAGCCTTGGAATACAGAATCATTTCATACTGCATTCATTCTAGTAACCATGGAAACATTTTCACACTTGCTGAGGGAGCATCCATTAATTTTTCTATTCAGATATGGTGTGTGTGTGTAAAACAATGCCAGGGGCCAGAGAGTGTGCATAAGCTTCGACCAGTGATCTATCATCTCTACACGCAATGTCATTGAATAAGTCCGTGTTGAGAGTTTTGAATATTTTTTACTAAATATAGCCTGCTGTGTTAGGCTCGGTAACCTGGGTCTAGATTTTCGAAACGATCTTAGCTACGATAAATCTTAACAACTTACGTTCAAAGATAAGATATCTAAGTTTAAGATAAGATACATTTTCAAAATCTATCGTAAACCTGTCGCAGATCTCACAAAGATATGATAGCTATTGTAACTCTGATAGAGAACTCATTTGTGTTAGAGACTGAAAAAACAGGGTGTTTCCCAATGACGTCACAGGGATTTCCCAGACGCTGACAGTAACAACAACATGGAAAAGTGACACGGAACTCATGATCACATTGTCAGGTCACATTGTTTAACACGCAACTATTTGAGTGAAATTCCTTACAATGCTTCAAATGTCCTACATGTAGACGTTTTGTTCTTATGATAAAAGATGCCATAATTCCTTTCAAAATTTAAAAGTGACAATAATTTTCATTTGCAAAGAGAGATAATTTATGAATTATCAAGTTATGTTGTCTCATGGAACATGCATATAATGTAGTCCATTTCTATCCTTTTAAATTAAGTAGAGCTAATAAACTGATTTGTCTGATTTCATTTAAATCTTACTGAGGAGTGAAATACGTTGTAAATGTATCAAATCTATTCCAGAACGTAGTTCAATGATGTTTGGCTTGTCTGACAGCATTGCTGAGGATCATTTACTAGTATTTGTCCGTTGACCCTATACTTTACAACAATTTTATTGTCTGAATGGTCTCAAGTATCTATATTTTTTTAAACATAAGATGGGTAGATGTACATTTAATTAGCAAAAATGACCAAAATCAATTAATACTTCAAAATCGGTTTATTGAATGCAAAAATCAAAGGTTATTGTGTTAAAAATGTCTATTTTATATTGATAAGTAAATTTCATTCAATAAACGTTTTCTGCTAACATATATTGGAAGGTGAATTTTGGACAATGTTCGAACTATGCTACTTTTTACGACATTTAAACCTGAACGAGCATGGGAACCCACATCTTCCCGAGGCAAGAGAGTTAACTGACTATAAAAGTCCAGTTTCCACCCTTGCTGAACCAGGCTGGTATGAACTATTATGGAGTTACATTTTGGCTTGACTAACAAGTCTATACATAGTCCAATCAAAATCGCGCACCGAAATCGAAATCCGGTTCGTAAACTGTCGTGCAGATTTCGATCGATTGCAGGATTTGCAAAGCATGTGCACCGCCAACTCGTTGTCAGCAGATATTTTCCAAATCTTTTCATGTTTTTAATCAAGGTGCTTACGTGATTTGATGCATTTTGCGATGCAAGACCCGTTTAATCACAATATAGATCTTGATTATCGATCAGATCGTCCTGGGCGCCACCATTTTGTGTGAAGCAAACGCAAGTGATGGAATCTGATTGGTCCATAGGAGAGGCTTAAAAGGGACATAACTGGTAATAGCTACTGGTGATGCTACGATCGTGCCCAGTATTTCCAGCCTAGTTCGGCAAGGGTGGAAACTGGACTTTTAAAGTCAGTTAACTCTCTCGCCTCGGGAAGATGGGGAACCCATTTCTTATTTGATTTTTCGATACGAAAATCTGTGCTTGACTTTTGCTGTCAAAATTTCAATAAATTGTTATATTTACTGGAATACATCTACGTGCTGTAAATCACCTGTTCCAAAAGAAAGTAATCACTTGCTTTTAATCACTTGTTATCAAATATTTGTCTTTCAATAGTATAGATAACCTAGGTAATGTATTTAAAACGAAACAAAAAAAACAATTACTTTTGCATGAAAAATATTAAATATACCATACAAATATTTGATCACATGCATTTCCTTGTTAAGTCAATAAATACTACACTGTATAGTTAAAATTCAACTGTTAAAACCGCTTGTCCCACACGATTTTAGATGTAAAAACTGATGCAAACCTTTATGGGTTTTTTATATATGTACATTGTAATAATTTTATAAAATGCGAAAATAAAGACTACAGCATTGACACAAATGCAATCCAAAAAATATAACAGCGGAACTCTGTGCTTTATGAAAACTGTAACATTGAGCAAACTCTCGCCGGGTGAATACAAAGGCTAACCACTCCCAACTAGAGTATGAACTAAGATTAGCTGCCCCTGAGTTATCAATATGGTCACGGTCATAACTATAGCCTGCCGACACCTTCCATTTTCATCCTTCCCAAATTATCGAAAAGGTATGTTGTTTCACACTTCTTCAGCATGGACTTGGATTGAAATACATTTTAAGCTATTGACTCCATAGTTGTGTGGATCGCTGGCGATATTAAGAACATTTCTGACGTGAAATCATTGAAGCGTTCTTTGTGTTTTTAATCACACAGTTTAACAAAATGAAATGTCAATGTTTGAACGTAAAGCAGACTAATTGTTTGGCAAACTATCTATGGTAAAGTATGCCTCCATCTTGGATGAAAATAAAATAAACTTACAACAGGTATGGGGCTATCTTAGATTTACGACAAACTTAAGATATCTTAGGGCTACGATAGTTTCTAAAATAGGCTACAATAGCCTACTATTTCCTTACGATAACTTTATGATAATTTTAGGGCTATTACGATCGTTTTGAAAATCTAGACCCTGAAATCTATCCTTAGCCCTTGGATCCCCTTTTCGATCAATCACCACTTCACGATCATTAGGGGTAAGGTTAGTGGCTATTAGATTACCCAAACTCTATTAGCCCTTGGATCCCCTTCATGATCTATGAACCCTAGCTTTACGATCATTAGGGTTAGGTGCCCATTTGTGGCTATTTCAGATTCTATAGTGGCTCCTAATATTCTTCACACAAAAACTTACCCTTGTGTCGTCACAAGCCATTCTTATATGCCTCCCTTGTTCCTTACTATTATCCACATTATCCTTATGGTGTTCCCTACCACACTTTTCTGTCACAAAAATCACCCGATGAATTATTAAAGACCATGTCAATCGACGTCGGATGCCTGGAGCTGTTTCCTGTTCGCGCCATATCGGCTCATTCCTCACCACTCGGTATCTTGAAGATTACGAAGAGTGTGCCACATGACATCGGGATCACTTGTAAGTGTAGGTAGACTCAAGTCACGAGACACCATGCCTACCTGTGACCTTCGTAAGTGTCTGTCATCTATTCTACCCTTTTCGTTCAGTTCCTTAACAGGGTAGGCAAGACCAGGTATATTTGCACTTAATATTACAGTGTGGACGTCACGTTCAGTCGGTTAGCTATCACGAGTAATTAAGCATCCGACAGATTCTCACAAAAACTGGTTGCTTGTCTTTGAGACACATGACCTATGTCAGATATCTTCCTCACGAGTTGTGGTACTGTATTATAAAGGTGCTCCCTGTTTTGAATATATATCCTGACTAAATTTCAGTTACATCCATATAGGTTTCAGTGTCAATTTCGGTGTATTTCGCATCAAACATTTGGCTTGACATTCATTGTATGGCCAAAAAGGTAGAGAAGCATGCACTTTACTCATCTCGCCATATTGAAGGACTCAATGTTAAGCTGAGATGATTGTGGTGATGATGTTTATTATGTTCAGTTTTTGCACAGTTTGACATTTTAATTCACAGTTGAAAAGGGATGTTTTCTTGGGACTATATGTGGTCCCGTGCCATGAAGATCGAAAGCATGGAAAGAAGTAGATCCAACTGTTCTTTGCATTTAAACTTCTACAAAAAAAACTTGTAAAACGGCAGAAATCCAAAACTCATATGACTTTGTGTTCATGATGTAAATTTAGGCGGGTTTTTATCAACCATGACTTGAGCATGTTGATCAGATATTCAAGACAAAATATATAAGTTCCCCAGCTTATAGCTCTAGCAATCTAAAGCATCGGACGTTTGTGTGTTATGCATAGGATTGATACTACTGATAGGCCTGTGTGTTTATGAGTCACGACTCATTGATACTGTTGAATCTGAAAGCATTTCTGTAACTATTGAAACCTGTTTTACATTTTCAAGATTCAATATGAAATAAAGTCTTACCACTTGGTCCGTCCACTTGTAATTTGTTATTTGCTTATGTCATTGTGCCATCAGGATATTTTCACGAAACCGTCTGCTAAACCGGAAGTAATTTAGTTAATTCCCTTGAAAATCATCATCTGGATTCACCGTAAAACTGCGCGTCCGCATGGGCACGCTTAGAATCGACGTACTTGCTGGCAGAAGCCTAGTCAAATATATTTCGGAAAAGAACATTCGAAGTCTTATATTCCAATTAAATGCACATTTTATTCAATATTGAGGTAAAAAAACGATAAAAGCGTGTGGAAACATAATCACACCCGAAGCAAGACCGACTTTGCTTTTGATGTTTACCTTTTAACCTTATATTCGCATCCGATGAACAAGGAGCAGAGTGGCGCAGTGGAAGCGTGCTGGGCCCATAACCCAGAGGTCCGTGGATCGAAACCACGCTCTGCTACACGTTTTTTATTTTTCGTTGAATCTCTTACTTTTCCGCTTGTTTTTTAAACATTATTTTCAAAAGTTATGCAACAATTGAAAAACAATCCTCTTCACTGTACGTAGACTGAATCAGGCTAAATACTACCTTAACCATTAAACAAACAAACTAAACAAAACGAAAACCTAGCATTATGCATTGATACTCTTTTCCCCAAAAAATGTTTCTAAAGGATTATTCAAACAAACAATGAAGATAAACAGCATACACCTCAAAAAATACAATTTGGAAACAAAAACTGAATCCAATGTTATTTAGTGACGGAAAAAGAAATGTTGATGGAAGGTTCAATAGGAAGCGATGGCGTTAAAACTTCGGGGCATGAAATATCCAATAATCCTGCAAATCTCTATAATTCCTGCAAATATTTTCTCTCTCTCTCTCTCTCTCTCGCACCCGATTGCTCCAATCATACCCAACTTGTAATGGCTTATAGTTACATCGTAGAACTACATTCTCTTTCTTGTAACAGTACAGTTAGGAAGCAGGGTAACGGTGATTTAGAGTTTATTTCTCTGTACACGGTATACATAACACAATAATACTGAAATCAGGTAAGCAATAATATACCATGATGTATTAATCTGAAGCACTTGGTTAACTACCTAATAATTAAAGGGTTAACCATATTAATCGTTGAATTATTGAATTGTGGTATACTCTCACTCTGCGTCATGTCAATTTAAGAATGAAACACGAGAAATCAAATCCAACATACCATACAATTAGTTTCCCTCACCAAACAGACTAAAACAGTCTTAAAACAGTCCTGTTTGATGTTTTTGTGATGTTTATGTATTATGCATAGGACATGACACTATTGATAGGCCTCACTGATATGCATGCAAGGCCTATGTGTTTATGAGTCACGACTAGTCAATAGCTGATGGATATCTTCACAATTTGGTAGTAACGGGAGGCAGCTCAATCCCATTTTTTTCCGGCACCCTCGACTTGATTTCCTCAATAGGTGCATACCCACCATTAACTGGCCGCCATCTTCACTCATCTCTGCCCTCCTCGTCGCCTCATACTTGTCAATGAGCCCCTCCCCCTTGCCCTGATGTCTTTCATACCAGAAACAAAGGAAAGAGAGGATGGCAAATGTTACAGCAGCAGCAATGGCACCAACAACGACCGAGGGAATGTACTTCTTCGTCAGGTCCCCCCAATATGGACCGTGTATGTTAATTCCTTTACGGATGCTGTAGGTCAGATTACCCTGCACAAATACAAGGCAGTTATAGACGCCAAAATCTTCATCTTGGACATGCTTGACCAGGATCCAGTGGCCACTAGAGGATATGTCAATCTTGGAATGGTCATCGTGTGGTCGGATGATCTCGCCGCTCGGTAGCGTCCAGAGGAGGGTTGTTCCTGTCGGCATCCTGTCTGGGTTGAAGACGTCATTGTCACAGGTTAGGTTTTGTTGTTGATCAAAGAGGACGTCGTAGACCCAGTGGTCGGAGTGAGCGTCCACCAGACTGAGGAGGACCAGTATGAGGACGAGCTGGAGGGCCATGCTGAAAGAACACAGTTTGATACCTCTTATGCATAGTGAGTTAGGCAATACAAAGAACACACTTTGATACCTCTTATCTATAGTGGATTTGGCAATACAGAGAACACAGTTTGATACCTCTTATCCATGCATAGTGAGTTAGGTAATACAAAGAACACAGTTTGATACCTCTTATCAATGCATATTGAGTTAGGTAATACAAAGAACACAGTTTAATACCTCTTATCCATAGTGAGTTTGTCCGTACAAATAACACAGTTTGATACCTCTCAACCATAGTGAGTTTGTCAATACAAATAACACAGTTAGATACCTCTTATCTATGCATAGTGAGTTAGGTAATACAAAGAACACAGTTTGATACCTATTATCCATAGTGAGTTAGACAATTCAAAGAACATAGTTTGATACCTATAATCCATAGTGAGTTAGACAATTCAAAGAACACAATTTGATACCTCTTGTCCATAGTGAGTTAGGCAATTCAAAGAACACAGTTTGATACCTCTTGTCCATGCATAGTGAGTTTGGCAATACAAAGAACACAGTTTGATACCTCTTATCCATAGTGAGTTAGGCAATTTAAATACATGACACTTTTTCTATTGATGACAACTTCTTTATTCTTTGTAACGATGTCTTCCAGGGCTACTTCTTGTCCCTTCATCAGGTGGATACTGACTAGGCGTGTTGATTCTAATATATAGTCATGCTGATATGTCTACAGAAGGTAGGATTAATGTACACAGATAACCGTATAACGAAACTAATGGAATTGATGGGAGAGAAACCTCCACTCAATATGCTTACTCAGCATTCATCTGATGAAGGAGCAGGAAATAATCTTGAAACGTCATTACAGAGAATTAAATAGTTGTTATCCATAGGAAATGTCATGTATTCATGTTCTTCCAACTTCTAAATGCCTATCAAAGACTTCTGTTCTATTTTGTTTTACAGATCCACGGACCCTAAGCTGATGAAAAGTGAAGACAAAATCTATTAATATCAACTCTTTTTCATCTTGACGAATGCAAACATAAGGTGTTGACGAAAACATTGTGTGCATACAATATGTAACATCTTCAGAAGTCCTATTAGAAAAACAGAGAAATATGTCTTTTATTTCTATCAATTTTTTTTCTCTCCATGCAACAATATTTATAAACACCCAAAAACCAAAACTGCGGGGAATAGAACGGTCTTGGGTTTGAAAAGTCCATGCTAAAACCATCATGCTATCCAAAAACATGACTTAAAGGGCAAAAGATAAATAATCAGGTAACAGCCTTTGAGATACTGGTTTGTAGGTAGGTGATTTTGTTTTTGTAGAATTATTTTGACAACTATAGTTACAAAAGTGACAGAACACATAAAGGCACACGTGAAGTCACAGGGCTGTCAAAGAAGCTCTATACAAAATGGCATATAATGAATTGCATGGTGAAACATGCAAAAAACATATTTCACACTGTGTTAGTCCCTCAACGAAGAATATTAAGAACCTCTATAAGTATAAGGGATATATTTTTTCATTACTGTAATTAATAAACACTATAGCAAACACATACATTGCATGATAACATTATTTCAGCCCGTACTCCTTAATTTAAGATGAATTCAACATTGAACAATAGCATCACATACATCACCTTGTAGTCGTCTTCCTATCCGGACAGTGGGCTGTGTGTGACTGAGGCCCTTCACACATTGTACACCATGTATTCCATCCTGATACCACATTTCATGTAATTTTAGCACCACTCATCTTTCACTCATAATGATAACTTTACATAATAATAACCTAAACATATTAGTCTCGTGAAATGCATGCTTATTTCTGTGTGCACCCTTACCACCTGAGACCCGTGAAGATTCCGGGGTACAATAGGTCTTCAGCAACCCATACTTGCCGTATTATGGTGATTATGCTTGTCGTAAAAGGCGACTAGCGGGATCGGGTGGTCAGACTCGCTGACGTGGTTGATGCATGTCATCGATCCCAATTGCGTGGATCGATGCTCATGATATTAATCACTGGATTGTCTGGTCCAGACTCGATTATTTACAGACCGCCGTCATATTGCTTGAATATTGTTGAGTGCGGCGTTAGACAACAAACCAACCAACCAACCTTACCACCTGATTGATTAGGCCACAGAAAAATAATTATTAGATTTCCATACACATTTTATCAAACAATGTGAGGCATTTCCATTTTTTTAGAAATATTTAAAAAAAAGTTCAAGGCATCTGCGGACATTAACTGTTGACGTGACTCACGCGGGGCATGATCGTTTGGTAGGATTACTTATGCGTGGTGTATTTCATCAATTAAAACAACATGGCAATTCACATAGATCATCTTCTCCGCATGAATGTGAGATGGGGTGTTTCGTAGTGGCATAATTAATATATTATGGCCTCATCCCATTTTTCAATATTTGACTCAAAGCTCCAGATACGCTGCGTATATATTTCGTAAAATAGCAAACGTATTTAGTGAAATACATGTACTCATAATAAATCACTGTAACCCACTTCATTTTTAGTTGCTCGCGTACAAATATTATTTATCTAAAAAAAACCAACAGAATAACGACGCCGTATGTAATCACCTAATGTAGCCTTCCAGCTTGCATACTTTTATTTCTTTATATTTTTATTTGCTTAATGAATGCAGGCATTAAGTATACATGTACTCTACTGCAGTTAATAATGAAAAAACGTGCTACGTCCTCGCTTAACTTTAAAGAAGACACGAATCGTATATTGGGGCATCACATTAATAGACGCAAATGACAAGTGACCTGAAACAGAGTTTTAAACAGAATTATGTTTAAAAAGGCCCACTCATTGGTTTATAAATACCCAAAGTGAATGATAACATGTTAGTAAATACGCACTGGCTAAAAGAATTATCTGGAGCCAATAATTTGGGCTGATGTATACAAATCACCCTGGGTCCCATTCCACAAAGCGACCATAGCGCTATGACGATCGTAACTCCCTTACTTTAACATAGATTTACGATGATCGTAGCGCTATGACGATCGTAACTCCCTTACTTTAACATAGATTTACGATGATCGTAGCGCTATGACGATCGTAACTCCCTTACTTTAACATAGATCTACGATTATCGTAGCGCTAAGACCACTTTGTGGAACGGGGCCCTGGGCATTAAATACATTGACTACGTTAGTGTGCGTGGTTCAGCACAGATCTGACGGTCCTCTACGGATGATCAACATCCAAAGTGGAACTAATAGCACCCACTCATTGCTGGACATGCAGACCGCTCGAACAACACCTGCTGTATGTTCACGTAGGTATTGTTCATGTTGGGGTCGCTGACCCTGCTGTAATGGTAGTTAGTGGTAGACGCTGTGCCTGTTTCATTCCTTAGATAATACGGAGTGAGTGAATGTTGTTTAGAGCCACTGTTAACATTATCCCAGCAACATCATGGCAGCATGGTCATTATTGTGTTTGAAGGCAAGAGCAATGATCCATCAGGGCATGGTGACACAGTGACAGCACGGCAATGGTCCATCAGGGCATGGTGACACAGTGACAGCACGACAATGGTCCATCAGGGCATGGTGACACAGTGACAGCACGGCAATGATCCATCAGGGCATGGTGACACAGTGACAGCACGGCAATGGTCCATCAGGGCATGGTGACACAGTGACAGCACGGCAATGATCCATCAGGGCATGGTGACACAGTGACAGCAAGACCAATGATCCATCAGGGCATGGTGACACAGTGACAGCACGGCAATGATCCATCAGGGCATGGTGACACAGTGACAGCACGGCAATGATCCATCAGGGCATGGTGACACAGTGACAGCACGGCAATGGTCCATCAGGGCATTGTGACACAGTGACAGCACGGCATTGATCCATCAGGGCATGGTGACACAGTGACAGCACGACAATGGTCCATCAGGGCATGGTGACACAGTGACAGCACGACAATGATCCATCAGGACAAATTGACACGCAGTGAAAGCAAGACCAATGATCCATCAGGGCATATTGACACACGGTGAAAGCAAGACCAATGATCCACCAGGACATATTGACACGCAGTTATAACAAGACCAATGGTCCATCAGGGCATGGTGACACACAGTGAAAGCAAGACCAATGATCCATCAGGGCATATTGACACGCAGTTATAACAAGACCAATGGTCCATCAGGGCATGGTGACACACAGTGAAGGCAAGACCAATGATCCATCAGGGCATATTGACACGCAGTGAAGGCAAGACCAATGATCCATCAGGGCATGGTGACACACATTGAAGGCAAGACCAATGATCCATCAGGGCATACTGACACGCAGTTATAACAAGACCAATGATCCACCAGGGCATGGTGACACACAGTGAAGGCAAGACCAATGATCCATCAGGGCATATTGACACGCAGTTATAACAAGACCAATGGTCCATCAGGGCATGGTGACACACAGTGAAGGCAAGACCAATGATCCATCAGGGCATATTGACACGCAGTGAAGGCAAGACCAATGATCCATCAGGGCATGGTGACACACAGTGAAGGCAAGACCAATGATCCATCAGGGCATACTGACACGCAGTTATAACAAGACCAATGATCCACCAGGGCATGGTGACACACAGTGAAGGCAAGACCAATGATCCATCAGGGCATATTGACACGCAGTTATAACAAGACCAATGGTCCATCAGGGCATGGTGACACACAGTGAAGGCAAGATCAATGATCCATCAGGGCATATTGACACGCAGTGAAGGCAAGACCAATGATCCATCAGGGCATGGTGACACACAGTGAAGGCAAGACCAATGATCCATCAGGGCATACTGACACGCAGTTATAACAAGACCAGTGATCCACCAGGGCATGGTGACACAAAGTGAAAGCAAGACCAATGATCCATCAGGGCATGATGAGAAAGAGTCTGCCAGGCTACCAAATCTGACCATCCAGTTCTCTTCATCAGCTTTTACAGCAAGCATTGGTTACTGCGGATGTATTCTTCCCAGAATCCAGGGCTGACAATTTGGGACATATGAATTAGAAATAACATGCTGCAATCGCAAGATGTAACAATGCAACAAATATTATGTGAACATTGTGTGAATGTGTTCTTATTCGGGAAGAAAGAGGGAAACAAAAGCTCGCTGATTCGTTTCCCCCCAAAATTAACTTCTAGCAGGACTTCTAGTCTCGATCGTGATATTCTCACAGCATCAATAATAATATTTTTAGTGTACATTATATTTGAAATGTTGATGCACGTCTGATTGTGTTTTGTTTATTTGTCGTAATACTGAACACAGCAATATTCAGATGGTGGTCTTTAAATGGCGTCTGAACCAGGCAACCAATCCACCCCTTCGGGGTACAATGACACGCAATCAGCCAAGTCATAGAGCCTGCCTACCAGATCCATAAGGTCATCTCTTGTGACCAGCTTATGTTGCTGAGGAGTGAGTGAGTGAGTGAGTGAGTTGGGTTTAACGCCGCTTTTAACAGTATTCCAGTCATATCACGGCGTGTCAGCTTAATGTGAGGAAAGCCTGAAGTGATGCAAGTCTCAGACGTTTACCACTTCGGTGAAACCCACGAGCACGGGTATTGTGCTCAACAAACCTAGAAACATAATTGGGGCGAACCGGGATTCGAACCCACAATCATAGGTTTCTGGCGTGCCTAAGGGACGCAACTCTGCACAGCGAATCGCGGCGCCTTAGACGACTGGGCCACCCATGCCCCAATGTTGCTGAGGAACAACTCATAGAGATGAAGAGAGGGAGGGAGCGTGCCGGAATACCAGTAGTGAGCATCCACCAAATTGCAGATATAAGATACATTACCTATATGATCGTTTACCACCATTGTACATTCCATGGGTACTGGTTTCACCATAATAAAATGTTTAGAAAATGTATAACAGGGGGTGTTTACTCAAACCACACACAGCCAGTTAAGTGTATTTTCAGTGATCGAGTGGTAGAGAACAATATCCCTTCTACCTCTCTGTTTTCTGTAAAAAAAAAGAATCTGTACTATACACATGAAAGTTCAGACTGTCATGTCCATGTTTGGTCTAAGAAGGGGCTTTTATAAAGACTGTACTTACAAACTGCCCTAGAAGTTTATCAGGGATATCGGTATGAACCGACACATACATGAAACAGGGTTATCCATGTGTGGATGATTACCCCCCGTTAGCGTCATTTTGTCTCCATATCACTCTGGGTATACCTCAAAACTACTATGGTGGTTTTTATTTCCAGCGGTACCTGTACACATGATAGAATTGCTCACACTTGTATGAACCTAATGAAGTACAGTTGGTTACGGATGAACAAGAATAAGGTATGTTTATACCTTACAGATCATGCATACGATATAATTTTTAAAAATAAACACATTTATTGTGTTATACTGTTTTATTATCATAATGAATTCATATACATGAAGTCTATGAACATATGAGTATAAAGATATCCGGTTAAAACTTCCAACTGTTTAATTACAAAAAAACCCAAAACAGTATAGCTAGTACGAAATAACCCTAAAGTAGTCATACAATATGGTGTACTAATAATATATATGTCACACAACTTTCAGCTTAGTTACGTTCAAAGTTATAAAGGGACAATAACATTGTGGTTGATGAAGAGTTGTCTCCCTTGGTTTCCACATTTAGTGACCATTTAGTGTTATTTCACAAATCAATTGAGGAAATACAAATTATACACACATTTAAGGGGTGGTTTGAGAGAGGGATTTGTGCCGCTCTTAGCAACATTCCAGCAATACACAAGAAATGAGCTTTACACATTGTACGTATGTGGGGACGAAGAAGGTACTTTGTTTAGGTCCTCAGTTTTGTATATAGGGCAATATATTGTAGGCAAAATAAATGAACTCTTTTGTTAACATGAGGTGAGCAACTGATTTTATTGAAATTCTTGAATCAACATTTTTGAGTTTTCAGTATATAAACATATCTCTTTCACAGACGATCAAATGTGCAAGACCAGGTGTGAATAGTGTTTTTTATGACCTCTGTTTCCTCTGCTTTTACTAATAAAGACAAACCTTTCTGAATCAAATGTTCAAATTCGTAACAATGTCTTAACAGTAAGCACACCCACTATCTTTCACTGATCTTGCAACAAGTAAAAATGTCAAAGACAGTTCTGTCATCATTGCCATGGTCAAAAGCACTGAGACCTATAGAAAAGGAAATATAAATGTATGCATTTGGTGGCATTAACTCATAGCTGTATCAACAGTTCAAACTCAGACTCATATATGGCGTCTACAGTTTCGTAGCCAGATCGTTCCTTATTTCGGTATAAATTGGTACGTTTCCATTTTCCGGTGCTGTCTTAGTGTCGACTTGGACGTCACCCAACTCCACCGCAGCATTGTCGACACCAAGGTCAGACTTCCAGAGAGTGGACGCTTTCACTCTTTCATCCTCATCCGTATCCAAGGTGCTGTTTCTGCCAATCCAGTAGCAGAACCCCATCATGATTAAAAAGACCACGGCTGCTGCTACTGCCCCGACAATAAAGTTCATGCGGTACTTCGCTGTCAGGTCCCCCCAGTATGGACCATTCAGGTTGATGCCTGTCTGAACTATTTGATATCCATACTGGCTGCTGTAGATGATACAGTTGTAGATACCAAAGTCAACATCGTCAACCTTCTTCACCGTTATCTGTCTGCCTTCGTCAAAGACAGTCACTCTGTCATGGTCGTCGGAAGTTTTCACGAGGTCGCCGTTAGGAAGCAGCCACATCAGAAGGTATCCAGTCATCTGTGTTGTATTGGGGTCGAAGGAATTGTCCTTGCAGCTAAGGTTCGCAGGATGATCGTACATAACGATCACGCCTGAAACTTCTTCCTCTGCTGCCATGGCAACCATAAAAATGGCTGCCAAACAGATACACCATGTCCAAAACCCCATTGTTGAGCAAATCTGGAAAGAGAATAAAGGTGAGAAATATATTCTAACGGGCAATCTTGATCATATTCCGTGGCAGTAGGATAGAGGGCAGGTACAAACAGCAGTTCCTGAAGGTCAGCAAGCAGGTACTATGAGCATGAGTGAATGAGCAGGGTACACCAGAAATGGGCTTCACACATTGTACCTATGTGGGAAATCGAACCCGGATCTTTGGCTTGACGAGCGAACGCCTAACCACTAGGCTAGCGCATCGCCCCTCGTGTAAACATTATAATTTATCAGCAAACAATATATCTATGAGAGAGTGAAAAAATGATTTATACCATGCGGTAATACAGATTGACAGAGATGATTACGAGTACGATATGACGATATGACACATAATTAACCTAGGGAAACATGTGACAACACAATCCTCATTTTTATAACGGTCAATTTTTACAACAGGCAGCCCATTCAGTGATGTGGATGGGGACCAAAAACATAATATTTTTTTTACTTATATATCTCTTCAAGAGTTTTAGGTTAGATGTATGTATCTACAGTGTATAAACCGAAAATTTGAAAATGAATCATCATAGATTGTAGTACATATGTCTTTTATGAACAAAAATCAGCAACATTGAAGATAACAAAAATACAAATATCAATGTTTGTAAGATATGTATGCTTTCTCAATAGCTTTGTTTCTTTTGCACTGGATTCTAGTCGTTTTAACACCTTGTCTAAGTGAAATCAGCTTAGTCAGGGCATGTCCTCCCGAACAAACATCAACACGGTGGTTGGAAAAAACATGTTTCACACCTCTTAAATTGTACATGCAGAGACTTTTAGCAAATGCTTCCAAAATAACTTGCTGGTGACATTCTATGTGCTGAGAAACAGATCACTACTAAAACATTCCAATTTAATGGGCAAAGGGCTAAACTAATTCCCCTGACAAATAGCTTGGTGAGTAACTGCGAACTGTATCCTTCCCTCAGTGTACAAGATACGTGTCCCAAGACAGCATCTATATAGATTTCTATTTTTTCATATGAGATATATGGCCTAAAATATTCAGTGTATGAAATACCTGTCCCAAGACAGCATCTATATAGATTTCTAGTTTTTCATATGAGATATATGGCCTAAAATATTCAGTGTATGAAATACCTGTCCCAAGACAGCATCTATATAGATTTCTAGTTTTTCATATGAGATATATGGCCTAAAATATTCAGTGTATGAAATACCTGTCCCAAGACAGCATCTATATAGATTTCTTGGTTTTCATATGAGGTATATGGCCTAAAATATTCAGTGTACAAAATACCTGTCCCAAGACAGCATCCATATAGATTTCTTGGTTTTCATATGAGGTATATGGCCTAAAATATTCAGTGTACAAAATACCTGTCCCAAGACAGCATCCATATAGATTTCTTGGTTTTCATATGAGGTATATGGCCTAAAATATTCAGTGTACAGAAAACCTGTCCCAAGACAGCATCCATATAGATTTCTTGGTTTTCATATGAGGTATATGGCCTAAAATATTCAGTGTACAAAATACCTGTCCCAAGACAGCATCCATATAGGTTTCTTGGTTTTCATATGAGGTATATGGCCTAAAATATTCAGTGTACAAAATACCTGTCCAAAGACAGTATCTATATAGATTTCTTGGTTTTCATATGAGGTATATGGCCTAAAATATTCAGTGTATAGAATACCTGTTCCAAGACAGCATCCATATAGATTTCTTGGTTTTCATATGAGGTATATGGCCTAAAATATTCAATTAAACCCCATTTATTATATTCATCAATTGGTTAAATATGACTGTAGTCAAATAGTTCTACTTTGATGGAACAAAAGTAATGGAAAAGGACAAATTTGTTGTTGTTTAGAGATATGGATTTTTCAGAATATTTTTGAATATGTCACTTATAATTCATTTTTATGTTTGATTTTTTTAAAGACATGTCCATATTTGTCATTATTGTCACATCTAGCACCCCTAGATATGGGTTTTATTCATATAATTCATCCAACAAGTGTAAGGCAATAACATCCATTACTCGAGATACAGAGGGTTGTCTGGGATCTAAAAATGAACTCACATGAACACATATATGTACCCACACGAACAAACAATTATACTTCACATGTATAAATATGTATAAATTCCTATCAGAGTAATTCCAAATATATCTCCTTATACATACTAATGCCAATTTCAATTCGTAACAATCCTCTTTGAATTCAGACACTAAATTACAGTACTTACAGAAGAGAAGCGTCAAGTAAATCATGAAACTCTTACCCCCACAGAAGCAGTGACTCGCACAATGTGTCCCAATTGTCTGTTGTCTTCAGCTGCAAGATCTTGGACCCCACCATGGCCAGATCCGATCTCTAGGTAAACATGGTGTTCAGTATGGAGCCATGGTTGTTTACCTGTAATTCATGCCCCACAAAGCGTGTACATCTACCTGTGTCTGTCTACCTCGGTGTCTGTGCACCTGAATCTAGGCTAAGGCCAACACAAGACACCTGTTGTTCCCATCAGGAATCCTCGGACATTCATTTCTTTTATTTTGAGCATTTTCTGATTTTATAATTTGAGTTTTCTTCACACAAAAATGTAATTATTGTTTTTCTTGGAACAATTATGCTATTGCAATAGCTATCTACATTATAGTTTGTTAATTTTATTATTTATCACATTTTTCAAACACTATTAACTATTGAAATGACACTGAGTACATAAAGTTGTAAAGAAGCAGTCTTTCAGACATTAAACAATTAAATTTCAAACATTAAACAGTTTGTTTAAAACAAAACAAAATACTTCAAAATATGTTGGTCTTCCTTTCCTTCCAAGTACATTTCAGGAACAGTATTTTTATCTACATTTCAATTATATACATATACAATCAGTAAATGACTACAAATCTGTTTGTGTCACAATACTGTTTTAATATCACTGAAAATACCACATCATAAACTCTCTATGAATATAAAATCTAAACAACTTAAATCATTAAAAGTTGAATCTGCACCCCTTGGTAAAGACCCTCCTGGCTTTATGCAAATGTATGGGTCACACAGTGACCTCAGAGGTGTATCAAGTTTCAACCAATCATGATGACTCGAATATTGTTGATTTACCCCAGGACTTAGATGGTCCTATGAATGTAAGAGGTCATGTCAAGAACTAATATTTATCCAGGAAAACGTGATCTACCCAAAAAGGGGTCATCACACATTCAGAAAGTCCAGAGCTACAGATAAGCTGAATATTTGCGTAAAATACCTCCCCCCCCAAAAAAAACAAATAAATTAATAATATTCAATCCCAATTACTTTCAATTAACTTGCGTACAGAAACGCTTGCATTAAATGAAAAACTTAAATGTATAAAAACAGCACACGTAAATACCCAATGAAGCTTTTTCAGCATCGTACAAAGGAGCTAATTTCCGAAACACAATTACGAGCTAATTTACTTTCCAAGTTAAGCCTTTATATTGAGAACAGTTATATACATCTAAAACATTATTTAATTTTTAAAAATCTTGAAATGTTCACTAATTTTGGGAAAAAAACAATAGAATGATAAATATTGGTTACCCAATGAAAAATGTAATTACCCAATTAAAATAGAAACCCTAGAGTAAAAACTCAATTGCTCAAGAATTTATCTGGAGCTGGAAAGTTGAAGAAAATAGATTTCTTTCATTTTAAACTTCACTGCAGGTTACTGAAAATGAAATACTGTCCGTGAACAAAACTATTAACCATATAAAAAGATTAAATTACTTTAAAGCAACGCATTTGTGCTTTTTCCATGTGACTGCAGGGCACTCAAATTAAACATTAATTTTGCTTTTTTCCATAATTGGTATAAACATTTAATGTACATAGCATTGATACATTTTTCAAAAAAGATTTTTGTATATTCTATTGATTGTTGTTTTGAAGCTGTATGTGTTCAAATACTGAATAATGGCCCTAGTTGACAGTGCTCGGTGGAGCCCAGTTAAAAAAGATATATTTCATGTATCAAGTGTTGGCTGGAACATGACTTAAATATGAAATATATCAGTTTTCTCTATTGAAATCCCTTCTGTACACTTATGAATTATGTAGCTCTGAAATCATAAGGAGGTTCGTGCAAGGTGTGACGACTTTGAACAAGAACATATAAACTGATATGTTTGGAATGCTGGCTCCATTATCGTCACAGCCTCATATTTTTGTAAACAAAAATAAATCTTATGTTGCCATTATGATGCAGACATGATTTTACTGTTGACTAACTTCTTGAAGTGGCTCAGAATGAGCAATGCATGATATAGGATAAGGGCCCTATTTTTGTCCCACTGGAAATGTCAAATTATAAAGTTACAGAAAACTTTGAAAATATGGTATGAACATATCAGACATGTTAAAATGGTTGACAACTGTCCTTTTTGTTTGTTTGGTATGATCAAGTACATAATTTCTCTACACAAAAAACATCACCCCTAAATGTTTTCTCCCCACCTCAACCTACCCTTTCTCCCTATCAAACACCACACCCCACCCTTTCTCTCTATCAAACACCACACCCCACCCTTTCTCTCTATCAAACACCTCACCCCACCCTTTCTCTCTACCAAACACCACACCCCACCCTTTCTCTCTATCAAACACCTCACCCCACCCTTTCTCTCTACCAAACACCTCACCCCACCCTTTCTCCCTATCAAACACCTCACCCCACCCTTTCTCTCTATCAAACACCACACCCCACCCTTTCTCTCTATCAAACACCTCACCCCACCCTTTCTCTCTACCAAACACCTCACCCCACCCTTTCTCCCTATCAAACACCTCACCCCACCCTTTCTCTCTACCAAACACCTCACCCCACCCTTTCTCTCTACCAAACACCTCACCCCACTCTTTCTCTCTATCAAACACCACACCCTTTCTCTCTACCAAACACCTCACCCCACCCTTTCTCTCTACCACACACCTCACCCCACTCTTTCTCCCTATCGAACACCACACCCCACCCTTTCTCTCTACCAATCACCACACCCCACCCTTTCTCTCTATCAAACACCTCACCCCATCCTTTCTCTCTACCAAACACCTCACCCCACTCTTTCTCTCTACCAAACACCTCACCCCACCCTTTCTCTCTACCAAACACCTCACCCCACCCTTTCTCTCTACCAAACACCTCACCCCACTCTTTCTCTCTACCAAACACCTCACCCCATCCTTTCTCTCTACCAAACACCTCACCCCACTCTTTCTCTCTACCAAACACCTCACCCCACCCTTTCTCTCTACCAAACACCTCACCCCACCCTTTCTCTCTACCAAACACCTCACCCCACTCTTTCTCTCTACCAAACACCACACCCCACCCTTTCTCCCTATCAAACACCACACCCCACCCTTTCTCTCTACCAAACACCACACCCCACCCTTTCTCCCTATCAAACACCCCACCCCACCCTTTCTCCCTATCAAACACCACACCCCACCCTTTCTCTCTACCAAACACCTCACCCCACCCTTTCTCCCTATCAAACACCACACCCCACCCTTTCTCTCTATCAAACACCACACCCCACTTTTTCTCTCTATCAAACACCACACCCCACCCTTTCTCCCTATCAAACACCACACCCCACCCTTTCTCTCTATCAAACACCACACCCCACCCTTTCTCTCTACCAAACACCTCACCCCACCCTTTCTCTCTACCAAACATCACACCCCACCCTTTCTCTCTACCAAACACCTCACCCCACCCTTTCTCTCTACCAAACACCTCACCCCACCCTTTCTCTCTACCAAACACCACACCCCACCCTTTCTCTCTATCAAACACCACACCCCACCCTTTCTCTCTACCAAACACCTCACCCCACCCTTTCTCCCTATCAAACACCACACCCCACCCTTTCTCTCTACCAAACACCTCACCCCACCCTTTCTCTCTACCAAACACCTCACCCCACCCTTTCTCTCTACCAAACACCACACCCCACCCTTTCTCTCTATCAAACACCACACCCCACCCTTTCTCTCTACCAAACACCTCACCCCACCCTTTCTCCCTATCAAACACCACACCCCACCCTTTCTCTCTACCAAACACCTCACCCCACCCTTTCTCTCTATCAAACACCACACCCCACCCTTTCTCCCTATCGAACACCTCACCCCACCCTTTCTCCCTATCGAACACCACACCCAATTATTTCCCTATACAAAATCCTCACCCCACCCCATCCAAATTTCATTACCAAACCGCTCACCACATCTTTTCTCTCTACCACACACCTCACCCCATTCTTTCTCTCTACCAAACACCTCAAACTTTCTCTCTACAAAGCACCTCACCCCACCCTTTCTCTCTACCAAACACCTCACCCCACCCTTTCTCTCTACCAAACACCTCACCCCACCCTTTCTCTCTACCAAACACCTCACCCTACTCTTTCTCTCTACCAAACACCTCACCCCACCCTTTCTCTCTACCAAACACCTCAACCAACTGTTTCTCTCACCAAACACCTCACCCAACTCTTTCTCTCTACCAAACACCTCGTCCAACTCTTTCTCTCTACCAAACACCTCACCAAACTTTCTCTCTACCAAACACTTCATCCCATTCTTTCTCTCTACCAAACACCTCACCCCATTCTTTCTCTATACCAAACACCCCACCCCATTCTTTCTCTAACCAAACACCTCACCCAACTCTTTCTCTCTACCAAACACCTCACCCAACTCATTCTCTCTACAAAACACTTCATCCCACCTTTTTTCTCTACCAAACCTTCTCCACAACTCCACCATACAACACTATACCCCTGTGGCTGCTCTCTAACTTTAACAACACCCCACCCCCATTTCTCATCCCTCTTTTCCCACTGCACATTTGAGGCGGTGGGGTAGCCAAGTGGTTAAAGCGTTCGCTAGTCATGCAAAAGACCTTGGTTCAATTTCCCACATGGGTACAATGTGTGAAGCCCATTTCTGGTATCCCCTGCCATGATATTGCTGGAATATTGCTGAAAGCTGTGTAAAACCATACTCACTCACTTACTCACAACACACCTCTCTACATTTTCTCCACCTTCTACATATGCTGCATATACTCTCATATGAGTATGTAGGCAGTCCTAGGATTATGTCCCTTTGACTGTCGAGCCAAAGATGACAAGATGTGGTTTTTAAAGGATTACAAGGGAAGTAACTCTTCTTTTACTACTAATACAATGGGTAGTGAGGTGAGGTGGAATAGAATTTGACATCACGTTCAAGATCATAGCACTTATACAGTGATGTGTGTGTGCTTGTTCTTGTCAGGAATAAAGTAGGTCTTATAGTGGTAGCCCATGGAGATACCATGCTGCAGAGTAACATCGAATCCCCATTCAGACAAAGTTTTTAGACTGAGCCAACCAGTCCTTGTTTTAGCCCCTAAATGCTGAGTGCCAGGCAGGGTACCATCTTTTAACGTAAATGGGTTTGCACCTTGTCAGTTACTGAGTTAAACCTGTACAATTGAACCAACAGGCACACTAATGGCCAACAGTCTTTCCATCTGTCCATACAGTGTGGGTCCGATGTTGCAAAATGGTGACCCGTCTATGCATTATCCTCTCAAAACTGTTTACTCACAGACAATCAGGGTACTTGGAACTTGGTCGATCACTAATCCCTACAGAGGTCTCCCCAGTGAGTGAGGGAAGGTCTAACATGGTCAGAAATATTCCAACTGTTGCATGGTGGTCAGTAATTAAACAAGTCTTATCCTGGCAATCCAGTGCCTGAAGGCATGCTCATGTTCCATGGGGTTGGATGATATTCAGTTTAACATGGATACCCCACTCAACAACAGTTAACTGACTTTGAGCTGACCAGTCCTTGTTTGATCCCCTGATTGCCAAGCACCAGGTAGGGTAACAACAAATAACATCTTTTGTCACAATATTGTCTGTCAATGAAAAAAACATAAGGCTAAAAAAATAATAGTCTTGGTTCTCATGTTTTGTTTTTATTTCCATTTTTTATAAAAAACACAAAAAATCCTTAAATATTACAAGTCCAATGGTAGTTAAAAACTGTATTCCAGTATTGTACCCATCAAGGAATACATTTATGTAGTGAGGCCCTTTCCCAGGTTCATCGTACACAACTTTTTATTTGGGTACATACTAGTTTGAACAACCCCCCCCCCCCCCCCCCCAAACAAGACATCGCCAACCTGCACTATATTTTCAGAAGCCCTTGCCTGAGAACCAATTCTTTTATTTTTTTAAGACTAAACTAAGTTTAATTTAAGAAATCAGAGATGTGATTGCTGCTATTTTGTTTGAATCAGATGCAAGTGATATAAAGAATCTAATTGGTCAATAAGAGGGACATAGAAGTGACATAACCTGTAATCACCACTGGTGGCGCTACAATCGAACCATGAAATTGCAGACTATTTCGGCAAGGTTGGAAACTGGACTTTAACAGTCAGTTAACTCCCTTGCCTCAGGAAGATGTATCCAACAGTAAAGAAGTGGGTAAACAAGTCAGCAGGCTAAAGGTTAATGACCAGCAGCAGGCAGAGTAACAACAAGGACCATCTTTTGTCTTTTGCTGTGATGCGGCTCGGGATCAAACCACCAACCTTCCGCTCTCTAGATGCAAATTAGTCTACCTGTGTTTGTTCATCCACAGGACAAGTGTCTGTTCATCCACAGAACAACTAGCTACTGGTTACAATATTTAACCAGGTTTCTAAAACAATCAGAATTCATCCCATGAATATCTGGTATCCATTAAACATGTATTATTACATAAATGTAAAGTCGATCAATATGGACTTCCTGTAAGGCTGCATGAGAAAATATTTCTTGGGCACATTTTTTCCAAAGATGAGGAGGGACATTTTTTTGTAAACAGAAGTGAAGAGGTAGGAAAAATTGTTATATTTTCCCCTCCAAGAATACCAAGAAACATAAGTGGGCATTGAACGCAGCTGTTAATATGAATGTGTCGTGGGGAGGGCGGCACATATGGTCAAGGCTCTGCCATTCATAGATCCATATTCCGATCCAACCTACCTCCCTAGCAACTGTTGCTAGAACAGAGTGAGTTTGGTTTAATGCTGCTGTCGGTCCTCATTTCAGCCACCAGGTTCCACCCCAACCCCCCTGACCCTAGTTTAACCACAAAATGTATATCTGTTGGTTTGCAGAATTTCTGTAGATTAATGTCTTAACTTTAAGATGTGAGTTACATTAAGTAACTTGCGGGGACATGGACCTCATTCAAAAAGCCATGTGCTACATCTGTCATCCGTTCATGCCGAAATGACTTAAGATGCTCTTCGCACCACAAACTCTTCGTGGATGGGACCCTAGGTCTTTCAGCCAGTTTTCTTGGTTCATACCTTGGCTTAAACCAGGTTGAGTTTTCGCTCTGAATGACATTGTTTCAGGTTTAAACTCAATGAATTGATTTAAAGAAGGATTTGTATATTTCATCTTATGATATAAGGATCAAACAAATCGATATTTGCTCTCAGCGATGCCATGGTTACTGTGCCTAGGAAAATGAACATGGTAAGAAGAGTTAATGACCTTTGTATAGTCCTTGTTGAACTGTTGCTGCATTACGTTGGATTAAAACTTGGTTGAAATGTCATTGAATGACCTTGATTTGAACCTTGCTAAAATGTGTCTGAAGGATCTTGGTTTAACCTTCATGAAATGCTCGGTTTAAACCTAGTTGACATGTTGCTGAATGACCTTGGTTTAAATTTTGATGAATGTCATAGAATGACTTTGGTCTAAGCCGTGATGAAATGTCATAGAATGACTTTGGTTCAAGCCTTCATGAAATGTCATAGAATGACTTTTGTCTAAACCTTGATGAAATGTCATAGAATGACTTTGGTTTAAATCTTGATGAAATGTCATAGAATGACTTTGGTGTAAACCTTCCTAAACTTGCTGAATGACCTTTATTAAACCTTGTTCAAATGTTGCTGAATAATTTGCTTTCAACTTCCCTTGCTGTTCGACCCCAATAAAGAAATACCTCTTTGAATTATACAAATGTTTATTTCTGATTAACAAATAGCATGTACAAATCAATACAAAATATTCACATATTTATTGAAGGCATGACAATCTCATTAAAATCAGATCTATTACTCCGATACAAAACCATTCTATGTGAAGATCTGACGATGCCTCTATGTATATGACCTTTCTATTCAGTCAAACTTTGTTGAGGCTTTCAAATTCTCAGTACAAGTGAGTGAAGCCTTCAGACAACCATATCTGATTTCTGTATCTCATAAACAAACTCTAACAACAAATTTGGAATGCAGATAAATAAGGTCGCCCCATTAGTGTTGATATTTAATACACCTTGTCATATCCGAGTACTGTGGCATCTTCGTCCACATTGCAGCACAATTAAATGAATATTTGTGTTCTGTGTGGTTTTCATTTGTACAAACCAAAATTTCAAAATCAAAGAAATGAAGCTGAATCATTTTAGAAAGCTGACATCTGATTGGCTCAATCCTTGCATCCTTCACTTCGACTGGGCAGCCACGGATAGCTCGATCACGGTTCACCTGATCTTCATGCAGAGACGTATGGTATCAGGACTAAACGATCTGATTTTAATGAGATTAGTAGACATAAAAACAATGACTGGAATGATATTACAACATTTGTAGCAAAACAAGAATGTACATCACATCTTGATATGTTGTATATATATATATATATAATACCAAAGGCTTGACTGGGATATTCTGAACATTCCATGGTGTGTGATATTCTTTTATATCATGGTACATCAAATAAATAATTATAATAATTAGGAAGGAATAGGTAATAGAAAGACTTTAATATGTCATGCCCCTATCAAAAGCTGAGTAGCATATGTATGCACAAAACAGATTAGGTAAAACAAAACGTTCAGTTCCTATTTCAGCCCATGCAAACATAGAAGGGTAGATTGTGTTGTTTTTTTCGCTTAGATATTTAGTTTTCTTTAAAAGACATTCAGACAACACTGGGATGATGGGGCAACTCAAAAAACAATGCGATAAAAGTCCTTGGGTCAGTCTGGAAAACCCATCTTCCCGAGGCAAGCGTGTCCACTAGCCTGTATCAAAGCCTAGTTTCTACCCTTGCCACATCAAGACCAATTTCCTTGGCTCTACACTGGCCCCACCTCCCGTAGATCCTTGTATAGCTTCACAAAGATGGCGACTACCATAGGCGACGACATAGTCGATCAGATAACGAAAACATTTGCGATTTCATCCCTGACACAAAAACATAGGCAATCGTTGGTGGGGGTGTTAACAGATGAAAAAAACATCACTTTCATACAAGTCGTGGATGTTGATTTTGTGAAACGTTCTCCGATTGGACTATCGATATGTGTGATAGTCCAATCATACTTAGCACAGGAAAGTGGGCTTGATGTGGCAAGGGTGGAAACAAGACTTTGATAAATAAGGCTAGTGGACGCTCTTGTCATGGGAAGATGGGAAAACCGGAATCACACATATATTTTGGAGGAGGCCTTAAGCCTTGATAGTCTACGGGCACAACAATCACAAGAAGTTGAAGGTTAGATTGCTCCTACCCCTCCAAAAACACAATAAAATAAAAAAACCATATTGTATTACAGATATAGTATTGCTGGTATATATATTGTCTATTAGATATTGTACAAAAAGAATGTGTTGTTATGACACAACAAGTAAGATAGGTGAATGAAACACATAGCGTCATTGTATTGAAGCAGGAACATATTGATTTCTAAATATTGTACACAACTGTATGAATAATATCCACCAATTTCTAAAATACTGGTTGTGCGTGCCCTGAAGAAGTATGACTATCCTGATAACAATGTATCAAAGGGGCTCATAGAACAGTCCAAATCTTTTCTTGTGAATATTAAGATAAATGAAAGAGGGCAAACTAAAATTTTGTTTTATGTACAAAACTGGCTTCCACATAAGATATGGCTTGAGTGAGATCAAGCAATATATCCTAGGAGATAGGGTACTATGAAATTGTATCAATGGCTTTGCAGGCCATTGTGACCTCATTGGTTATCATACCATCACAATCAAATGACATCACTAATCTGTCTGCCTCTGAAGCTGGTTAGCTGTACTTTCTTATCCCCAGACACTGTTGATTACTGCTAAAAAACTAAAATACTAAGAAGAATAAGTCTGAATGATGAATAGAATCAAACCCTTGTGTCTTTCAATACCAAATGTATCAACACTCACTGACATATTTGATATCAAAAGACATGCAGGTGAGATTCTCTACAGGGCTATACAAATGTAAGTTATGGCGTACCTGCCATATGAACTTTAAAACTTTAGAAAACAAGGACCTAAGAAGAAGGTATATATGTAACCAGTAAACATAAAGTACCCTGTGTGTACATAGTCCCTTTAAGACTTGAGACTTGGCTGGAATAATGCTGATGCAACGTTAAATTTTGACTCGCTCACTTAGACCTGAGACTCGTTGCTTTATGGCTTGAACAATGCCAATGCGACGTTAAATTTTAACTCGCTCACTAAGACTTGAGACTCGTCGCTTTATGGCTGGAATAATGCCAATGCAACATTAAATTTTAACTCGCTCACTAAGACTTGTGACTCGTCGCTTTATGGATGGAAAAATGCCGATGCGACATTAAATTTTAACTCGCTCACTAAGACTTGAGACAGTTGAATAAGTCTTCTTGAATATTCTATGTAACAGGTAATATTCAAAGTCTTTCATCAATTACCCCATTGGACTTTTCCTCAGTCTGGGGTTCCTTGTCTTCCATCTCCACAGCAGTGTTATCATATGCGACACTGGTTCCATTGATCTTATCTGGCTTGTACAGGTCTTCCCTATCGTTGAAATCCTTTCTGAACCGGAAGTGCCAGACAAGACAACTCACACCAACAATGGCCACCATGACACCAGCGGCAATTCCACCAATTAAGGCGTTACTGCGATATTGGTCGTGAAGCTCGGTAAAATCAGCACCGTCCACATTGACGCCCCTTCTGATTGCTTGGACTGTGTTGTTGTTGAATAAAATCACGCAGTGATAGTAGCCAAACATGGGGTCGGAAATCTTGGTGATGTTGAGTGTGTAGCTGTTAGCGGACAGAGCCACATTCTTGGGCAGATTGGTTGAAGTGCTGTCAACTAAAACACCATCTGTCAAAATCCAGTAGAGCTTTCTGACTTGGCTCATATCATCAGAAATATTCAGAGCTAAACTGTCACATTGCAGGCTGATGTCCGCGAAGTATCTGATGGTTTTGTCCATCGAAGCTTTATCCTGACCTTGTACAGGGATGAGGCAAACCAAGATGGCTACCAAAACACCGGCGAACTTCATATCCATCATGACCGACTGTTACCTGAAATACATCAAGATGGTAATGTACAGTGAGTCTTTATATATAAAATTCATAGAATTTATAGAATATATAGAAATCCAATTATTTTCATTTCTGCGTAGGATCTGTCCACAAAGATGTTTAGGTGTGCCCTATGAAAATTTAGACTACTTTCAGAAATTGTTCAATGAAAAATGAAGGAAATTTGTAAAATCTGTTCATTGAGCTTGTTAAAGGCTTAATTGTTTGCCACGTATCTGTCCATTTTTCTAGTGCAAAATTCATTTCTCACTGGCTTCAACACTAAACATTGTCACAAAATACATTTTATTAAAAAAAAAAGTGATTTCAGTGTGTGCCCTCGGTCAAATTACTTTGTGGCTTAGGTATTATTTGTGCACCCCCAGGTTTTTCCAAATTCCGGATCCGCCTCTGTTCAGGCACCGGAATCTTATTTAACTGGGACGCTATGATATAAACCATGCCTTGGGGACGTAATACAAGGAATCTTGACCCCTGATAGATAGAACCCTGACTTGCACTTGACTTGCAACAGAAGCTATGGTCCAATTTCACCAACTGATAATAGATCTATGACCCGTGGCGGTTCTGGGTTAAAATAGGTCCCCACGAACCTATGCTATTCGAAAGTGGAGACCAAATGGATCGGGTGGTCAGATTAGGTGGTCGGTGACTTGATTGATGGCATGTCATCGTGCAATCTCATTAAAATCAGATCTTAGTTCTCGCTATCGCCAAACAAAGACCTGAGGACATCCCATTACGGGTCACGTCAGAACGACCTATTATTCGACCAATCAAAGTGTCGCTTACCAGATCATGAAAGTGACATTCGGAATGTGTTTTCTAATCATGCAACCTCGAAAACGTTAAAACGGGGTATTCCAAACGACAGCTACCGCCCGTACGACTTATTCCGTCAAAATTATCATGTTTCTCGCTTCCGTGGCATTACATTTGAATGGAGGAGGCGTTGCTCAGTACATGGGAAGGACTGCCATACAATGTTTTCAACTGAACTGGGTCAACATATTTTTCAAGCGTAGTCTAAAATGGAGGTCGCAAGGTTGAAACGATTGCCGTAAAGCTTGAGAAAGCTGCTTTCTCATTGGCTGATATCGACTTCTTGTTATTCGTTTCAGTGGTCAGTCAAAGTTTGCGAAAGGTCGTTCTGACGTGACCCGTAATGGGATGTCCTCAGATCTTTGTTTAAGCGGCAGTGAGAACGTAGATCTGATTTTAATGAGATTGGTCATCGTGCCCTGACAGTGTGGATCTGTGCTCACAATATCCAACACTGGACTGTCTGGTCCAAACTCGATTATTTACAGACTGCTGTCATATACCTGGAATGTTGCTGAGTGTGGTGGAAAACAAACAAAAAGATCTGTGACTGTTGTAAGAGACTGACATTGAATATTCTTGGGGCTTGGAATTTTTGTTTAGGAATATATTTGCAGGCAGTGCTTCAAGATATACAATTTATTTCTCTGACATAAGGAGGCCGATGATCAATGTTTTTAGCTAAATGAATGAGTTACGACATGTATTGGGCTTTTGTGAGAGTAATATGTTTCCCCCTGAACATTTGTTCTGGAGGGATTGATATACCAGCAGTATTGGTTCTTGTGGAACAATATACTCGGGATGAGGAATGTATTTTCTTCCCTCGGTCAATTTCTACATTTGAATTTTATACCAAGGACTAATTCATCGCTCACACTTACATCTTTTAAGGAGGGAGGCCTATGTCCAACTTTACAGCATAGTCTACTCATGCTCAAGTGACAATCATTTCTCTCTGCTAATGTGACAGTCCCCCCTCTATGCTAATACACAACCCCTACTCTATGCCCAAATGACAATTATTTCTCTATGCTAATGCGACAGTCCCCCTCTATGCTAATAGACAACCCCTACTCTATGCTCAAGATACAATCATTTCTCTATGCTAATGTGACAGTCCACCCTTTATGCTAATACACAACCCCTACTCTATGCTAAGGTGCCAGTCCCTTCTCTATGCTAATGTGAAAGTCCCCCTCTATGCTAATCGACAACCCCTACTCTATGCTCAAGATACAATCATTTCTCTATGCTAATGTGACAGTCCCCCTCTATGCTAATACACAACCCCTACTCTATGCTCAAGATACAATCATTTCTTTATGCTAATGTGACAGTCCACCCTCTATGCTAATGTGGCAGTCCCCCCTCTATGCTTATCGACAACCCCTACTCTATGCTCAAGTCACAATCCCTTCTCTAGGCTAATGTGACAGTCCCCCTCTATGCTAATCGACAATCCCTACTCTATGCTCAAGTGACAATAATTTCTCTCTGCTAAAGAGACGGTCTCTAATCTGTGATGAGGTGACTGTCTTTATCACACTGTTACAATTTTTTCTTATCTTATCATGTATTTATGACCTATTTTAATTTCAGTAAGCAAAAACATTATCACTGATGTAGGCAACAGTGTCACACAACCTGTTTGTAATCTGCCGGTGCACTCACAGTGACCTACAGTGGAATGCCCCAGCCGACATGTTGAAAAATGAAAATATGTCAAAATATGACATTTGTCATGAGAAATGTAAACATATTCATCTGTACACATGAATGATGAGTTACATCAGCATAACTTCTTGTTCTGCCTTCAAAGCTGTTAGTTTTCCACAACCAGAAAGTCTCGGTGAAAGACATCAATGCAGGTAATATGGAAAATGCCTACGTTCAGCATGGAAAGTCACAAATACATAAACTTACCTCAGAGGCTGTGATGTTATATAACTTGATTAGGGCAACTAGCGAGGGCCAGGCATTGTGTGCTTGGAGAGGGCGTCCCAAATATGGAGAATACCACCCAGCACTGAAAGCATGTTTACCTGGACTGGTCTATAGTGGAGGGGGACAGGGTGCATACTGCCACACAAATCTGTCAATATTTTAAAGAAGCTATCTGACAGTCAACTTAACATATATATGACATCAAATTGTTGTTATCAAAGGGTTTTCTTCGCCATCCTTTGTACAAGTTTTTCTTTGACCTTTTGAAAATGTAACTTGCTGTATCCTGCAAGTATTAATTCTAAAGAGTCCTTGAATGTAAATATTTCCCAGCTGAATACATGGACGTACATTTGCAGCTGAATGAGTTAAGCCTGAATTGTACGCTGTGTCAGCATTCACTGCTTGTCCATGCTGTATGTACCTGTCTTTCTTTGGGTGGGGGTGGGGAAGGGGTGTTGGTGGGGTTAGGATGGAGTGAGGTAGGGGTGGGGTGGATTGGTTTGGGGGTGGAGTTAGCAAGGGGTTGGGGTGGATTGAGGAAGATGAGGGGCATCTTCCTGAGGCAACAGGGTTATCAGACTATAAAGTCTAGTTTCCACCCTTGCCAAATTGGCCTAGAATTTAGGAGTTATATTTTGGTTAGACTAATGAGTCTATGCATAGTCCAATCAAAATAGACATCCGGTTTGTAAAGTGCAGTGCAGATTTTATTCAACTGCAGAATTTGCAAGGGATTGAGGAAGGGGTGATTTGGTGTGAGGAATGGGTGGGGTGGATTGAGAAAGGGGTGGGGTGGATTGAGGAAGGGGTGGATGGATTGAGGAAGGGTTGAGGTTGAGTGAGGAAGGAGGAGGGTGGATTGAGGAAGGAGTAGGGTGGATTGAGGAAGGAGTAGGGTGGATTGAGGAATGGGTGGGGTGGATTGAGAAAGGGGTGGGGTGGATTGAGGAGGGAGTGGGGTGGAGTGAGGAAGGGATAGGGTGGATTGAGGAAGGAGTGGGGTGGAGTGAAGAAGGAGTAGGGTGGATTGAGGAAGGAGGGGTGGATTGAGGAATGGGTGGGGTGGATTGAGGAAGGAGTTGGATGGATGGAGGAAGAGCAGGGGTGGATTGAGGAAAGAGTGGGATGGATTGAGTAAGGGCAGGGTGGGTTGAGGAATGGTTGGGTGCTTTGAGGAAGGATGGGAACATGTCATTAGACAAATCAATCCAAAACAAACTAATCACATGTTTGAGCAAATGTTACTTGTGAATATCTCTAAATCCCAACCAAGATATAAGAAAGCTTATCTGAGCACCCTCACACAATAGACTGAGCCATGTAGATCTAATGTGTACGAGGTCACGGAACATCCAGGAGACACCAGGTTGTATGTATCATCAGTAGAGCTGCATAATAAATTACACCTGTCGACAGGTGAGACCAGCCATATAGCTTGAATCTGGGCTGTGTATATTTACTCTCACGTGTACCGAGTTTAGTATTTCAGAATTGTGCCAGGACATGAACACGCTTGTACAAACACTGTGGGGAATAATATTGTTCAGGTAGTGTCAACATCGGCAGTATGTTGCAGGTGCTCTAGGGCCTCTCTCAGCACTTCAACTCGCAACAGCCTTGAAGATATATAGATTATCCACACAGTGTCCTCACTCTGCTGGCAACCTTGATCAGAATGGACCTTGGTTGTAAATATGATATCATCTTGGAATAGGAGAAAATGTTCAACACAATATGTAAATAAGTTTAATTGATTAAAGTTAGGCATTTGTAAACTAATGGGGTACTTTCAACCTCCAACAGAAACTATATGTCATTACCGGTATTTACTTCTTGAAAGTGTCAGTGACAATCCTTATTCTATGCTGGTTAAAGTTTGTACTATTTGTTTAAGGGAAAAGCCCTACTCCATGCTAATGAAACAGTCCTCCTGTGTGCTAAAGTAACAGTCCCTATTCCATTCCATTATGACTGAACCTCAACAAGCATGCATCATACATCTATGGCCAGAGTGAGTGAGTGAGATAAAATTTACGTCACTTCAGCAATATGTGAGTTAGATAAAGTTTAACACTGCATCAGACTGGTGAAAGAGCGAGTTTGGTTTTACATAGCTTTGAACAGTATTCCCTCATATCATGGTATATCAGCTTGATGTGGGAGTTAAGCCCAAAATGATGCAGGTCTCAGATGTTTACTGCCTTGGGTTAAACCCACAAGCAGGGGTATGGTACTGACAAACCTAGAAACATAATCGGGGCGAACTGGGATTCGAGTCAACAATCATAGGTTTCTGGCATGCCCAAGGGACACAACTCTGCACAGGCATCTTAGAGGATGCCCGCAACCTGAGAAGGAAAGGATACTGAACTTTGAATACTGATTCCAGATCAACAACAAAAATCGTTGGTGATTTCATGAGTGGCGCAATCTTTTTTTAAAAAACCCAACCTGTTTTGGTGGCTTTCGATTTTGAATCATTTGACGAAGTTCACTATCAATGAAATTCAGTAAACTTATTCAGAGTTAGGTGATGAAGTTTAAGATGGGCATATAGATTAAAAACTGTTTCAGTATATGTAGCCAGTTTGTACAGCGTACATTTGTAGACCCAGCAGGGAAGGTCCAGCACCCAGTTATGACAAATGTATGAATGTGGGTCTTCCACAACCAGTGCTTGCCGTAAAAGGCGACAATGTTTGACGTAAGAAGCAAAAACGGGATCATGTGGTCAGGCTCGCTGATTTGGTTGATGCAGGTCATCGTATCCTAATTGCACGGATCGATGCTCATGATATCAGTCACTGGATTGTCTGGTCCAGTCTCGATTATTTACAGACCGCCGTCATATAGCTGGAATATTGCTGAGTGTGGCGTTAAACAACAAACAAAAAAACAAAACGAATTTGGGTATGGGGTAATGAGTGAGTGAATATTCCAGCAATATCACGGCGGGAGACATCAGAAATGGGCTTCACACATTGTACCCATGTCGGGAATTGAACCCGGGTCTTCGGCGTGACGAGCGAACGCTTTAACCACTAGGCTACCCGACCGCCCCATGGGGTAATGAATCTATATTGCTTCATGCTTCAGTGGCCTGGGTTGTGCCCATGTCAGCCTTACCTTACATCTTATGGCTGTCTTGATCTGTTTGATTATTCATAACCATTTAACTGCTATCACCTGCAACGTATTTAGTCTTTGTGGCATCATGTCTTGGCTGTTCCGGAAGCCAATATATTACCTGGTCTCTGATTGGCTGGACTGTCATCTCCTTCAATAATACATAGAAGAAACATGGTTGGTTATCAACTGGTGTAATGCAACATAGATGGCATTTTGCGAGAATTTCTGGTCTACGGGAGGACCTGGGTTCTCGCTCCAGTTAGTGAGTGAGTTAAAATTTAACGCCGCATCGTCATTATTTCAGCCATATAGCGACGAGAACAAGTTGATGTATACACAAGTGAGTCAGGAATACAATATTCTATTTAAAAACAAATTTGTCAAACATATTTGGGCATTACAATAATATCCAAAACTGTTTAAAATACCTGTCCAGAAACTTTTCGCCACCTATAAGGTCTAAGGCAAATTAATCAAATCAGCGAACCTGACCACCCGATCCATTTGGTCGCATCTTACGACAAGCATAGGTTGATGGGGACCTATCCTGATTCGGAATCCCCACGAGAGTAAGGTCTATATTGACATAAGGGATTTGAAACAGTCGTATATGGAGTAATTGAACGCGGAATACCATCACAGACCTCTATTAATTTTGATGATTAAAATGGTATAAAATCACATTATTTATCTTATTAGGTGGGGTGATTTGCCTGATTGTGTGGCATCGAACCCCGATCGTTTCTTGTTTTTTTGTTTTAAACATATTTATTCACAAGGAGTGAACGGGATTTGGGGACAAGGTCTTCCAACTTAGAATGCCCTCTCCCTGGTATTTACAAAATATTCACAATTTCAAATTCAATATATTTGCATAAAACATAAAACACTATAGATGAGAGAGAGAGAGAGAGAGAGAGAGAGAGAGAGAGAGAGAGAGAGAGAGAGAGAGAGAGAGAGAGAGAGAGAGAGACATTGTTGAATTAACAGTTCTTTACACGAATCTTTTAGTTGTACATATATAATGTTGTACTGCCTTAAATATAGCTTCATTTTCTGTAACAACGTGATCTGCATTGCCGTGTAACAGTAAGTGTACATCAATAGGTATGTTATGAACAATATTTTTAAGGCTGTTTAACATAATTTCACGCTGATGACTAAACAATGGACATTCCATGACATTCGTTTCTTGTATCAGCCACTAGTGTATCCGTCCAGCTCGATTCAGTCATTTCGATTTGTACAAATAAAAGTCGACCCACAACACACATATTCCTTCGACCCAGCTCCCTTTTGGCTCTAGATACAATGTCATTCAGAAACGATGGCGTTTAACATATCCACAACAATATAATGGCACGCTGCTTTATTTTGCCGAGGACTTTAGAAGCCGCAACTGACGCGACCCGCTTAGTGTCGTCAAATATTCACTCACGGGTATCGTGTCGAGGTAAAAGATCTGATAATAATCAGAACCTTCATGGTTTTTCATTGTGTCTTGGGAAAGACGTAATCTTGCAAAATGTCACATTTCATTTAAATATGACCTTAAACAATTTTATTTACGATACAAATAATTAAACAGAGGTCTATGTAAGTCTGTATTTTGATTAGCCTTTAATTGTTATATGTTTTTTTCAGAAGAAGCGGCAGTATAATATGCTTTCAGGTGTACAAAAGCATTCGGTGCCCTTGTGTTTCAGTTTGACATTAGCTCCCTTCTCCGCTAGGGTAAATCTGAGGTAGACTAGCTTCGAATCGAATGAATTGGGGATTGAAAGCTAAGGATCTAAAAATCAACAGGTACTTGCGATTATTAACCATCGTTGTTTGTATAAACTATTTATATCCAATTTGAGAAACATAAGAGAGTAAGGAGGGTTTTGTGCAACTTTTAGAAATATCCTAACATTATGAAAGGGAACACCGGGGATCAGCTGCATAGAATGTACAAAAGTGAGTGAGTGACTATGGTTTATTCCAGCAATATCACGGCGGGGGACACCAGAAATGAGCTTCACACATTGTACCCATATCGCGAATCGAACCCGGGTCTTCGGCGTGACGAGCGAACGCTTTAACCACTTGGCTACCCGATCGTCCCAGAATGTACAGAAACGAACCCGGGTATTTGATGTGACGAACGAACGCTGTAACCACTGGGCTACCACACCCAAGCCTACTCTTGAAAACATCTAAGATGTGTTCCAAATAATAGAAATGGACCATGAATACACGTTCTTGTCGAATTTGCACATCAAAAGGACAACTAGCTGAAATAACACACTAGTAATTACTGATTTACCTGCTCCACGTCGGTATACGCTGTCGTGTGCCAGCTTTGATTATAAATTCTTTGAGTGGCATTTAGAAGTTGGAATGGTAATTAAGACAAAATTGTTATGGATGAGCAACTTCTTTATTTCAATTGGGCGACGTTTCGGTCTTATCATAACTACCTAATCAATCAGTGTACATCAACCTTATCTGTTATATAAACATCTATCTATTGTTATGTATATATATCATGCTCATACCTAGTTTGTACATCATATGCTTGATAATGGTGTTAGAATCTACACCGAAACGTCGCCCAATTGTAATAAAGAAGTTGCTCATCCATAACAATTTTGTCTTAGCTTTGATTATGTAGACGTATACTATAGTAATGTATGGTTGATGCAAGATGTCGGAGTCTGTGATGCTTTTATTTATTCATTAAAGCAAAAAGAACAGGAGATAGGTTTGTGCAAGAATGGTCAGACTGTATATCTAATTCACCAAGGCTGGATTTATATTGCACCTACAAATTCTATTACAATCTGAACAATATCTGTCATCAATTAAGACTGTAAATTTAAGAAGAGCTCTTGCAAGATTTAGATGTTGTTCAACTTGTTTTATAATACACAAATATAGAATGTCTAGTGATCATGCTTTTACTGATAGTTTATGCAATTTCTGTGGAGAAGACTGAATATCGTGTACTATTAATATATCCAGCTTATACTAACTATCCCACTGGATGCCGAATTATTTTTCTGACGCACATTTCCCTAAGATCTGAAAAGTAAAGCGAATATACAATACAAATATGTAGAATATTAAATTTCCTATTTCCTATCAACAAATAGCTTGCCGTAAATGATGAAAACTGATTTTCCTCTATGACGTCAAAAGACGACAGAGCGCTACACACGTACAAAGAGAAGGGGGCATAACTCCGCTATGCTTAGCACTAGTAGATTGTAACTCGGGTCACTTGGTGATAATTTGATGTGGATAAGGAAAATATATTTTCGTGATATTGTGTTCTCTAGGAACCAGACTATTCCAACACATATATCGATATTGAAACTGAATAATTTAGGTATAAAACAAAACATAAGAAATTGATGAAATCGTACTTCATAAAAAAGGAAGTAATAGCGAAATGGATGGCCCTATGTAACGTATACATTACTCCTCAGCTTCCAACAGTCTCCCGATTGTGTTAGTGTAATTTGATTAATGTTGCACCATTATTAATGAAGCACTAGCCTAGTCATCAAATGTAAAGAATTACTAAAACATTTACACCAGTTTATTTGACGTCATGGCTGGTTTCATATCTTTGACGACGTAAGAGTCATTGGTATTTTGATTAATATCTATCTCACCTAATTTTCGTTTATGGTATGGAAAATCTCGATGTGTAAAACTCAATTTGACCCTTTTCGACACGACATAAAATGATTGCTTTTACCTTGTAAAAAATGTCTTGAAAAGATAAACAATTCGATAGTTTTACCGAGTATCTTAATTGGACAAGACACGCACCTGTTTGGCATCAATTTTACGTAATCAAATACCCAACAAAAATATTTTCGATATTGGACATGTATTATTTTTTTTGGTATAATGTGATTATTTCTCATCATCTCGTCACAAAATTATACAACAAAAGATGCGAAGGAAGCTCCTGTGGTATAGAATGATCAGGATATTCGCATAAGGTTCGACCAACGGGGTACATGGCACAATTGATATTTTTCATACTTTACAATTCTTGGAGATATTCAGATGACAGTTTAATATCCTGTGATCACAATATTTTTAATAGGGTGAATCCATTGTTCATATTACACAAAACGAGAGGAATAATTCTTAAACGCTTTGTGACTAAGACGCTCCTGGCGAATCCCTGACATCGCCGTACTGTCTATCAAACGACGTAAAACATATTCCAAGACCAAGACAATAATTATTATTCTAAAACTGTGTACATGTATATTTAACAAAAATATTATCCATTTTGTTAACGTAATATATTCAGTGTTAGTTTTAAAATAAAATGAAACGGCTTTGCATTAACCTGTTTTTATGAAATTACAATATTTATTATTACACACCAAGAAATACTTACATGTTGCAGTAACATTTACATGTCATCTTCTAACACTTGTCTAAAGGAAAGAAATATCGTATACGACACATGGAACTTGCCAATTTCTTATGTAAACATTGTGCAAACAAACAGGATAATATCAAAGGTTCATACACTTTTTGGGTCTATTATATCTACGTATATATTGTTGGCGTATGACATCACTACTGGAGACCGACTTTTACAAAATGGCGTGTTCACTGATAACTACACGGGATTTCACAAGGCGACTTTCGTTGATTCAGGGATCGTTTGTACATAAATGTGACATGAAAGTCATCAGAAACATTCCGACAATCTGTGTACTGTTATATTTGTTTTTAATATTTTCATTGTAACCAAGAGAGATAGTCGTTGTGTGTGATTTTGCATCAGTCATGACGTCACACATGATGGAAACTTTGACAATGTCTGTTGAATTTGCTAAATCATTGCAATGTATCTGAGTTTAATCCCTAATTCTTGATGCGATTCTCTTCTCATGCGTAGATCGATGCTCATGATGTCGATTACTGGATTATCTGGCCCAGATTCGATTATTTACAGACCGCCGTCATATTGCTGGAATATTGCTGAGTGCGGCGTTAAACAACAAACAAACAAGCAAAGTATGCAACGCATAGACGAATGGATAGCTCAAAATAGGAGAAAGTGCTACGCAGTGTAAATTCTGAATTTTTCTTTGTTTTCATTTCAAACAAGGGCCGAGCACAGAGTTCGTTTTCCCATTTAAACCTATTTCGCTTGATTAAATGTAGATACTTTGTTTTGGTGACAAAGAGCATTTGTCATTTGATTCTAAAATGTATGAGCAATTCACGGATGTATGTAACCAGGAATCTCCACAAGCTGAAGGACACTTGGAAATATATCCTTCACCTTGAATTCGAGATAGCTGTATTTATAAATAATCGACTCGATCGAGGTCGTTGTTTATCATACGATATAAATAAATAAAGACTCATGTATATATTTTTAAGCAAGATATTTATTGCATTATCTATACAATACACACAACCTAATATCGAATTATTAAACATTTCAATGCACTACACTGAAATATGTGATGGCAAGAATGAACCTATTTAGGATAGTACAGAGGAAAACAACCCCGGGGGAAACTGGGTTCCCTTCAACACACAATCCCCAGGAGGGCAACGTTAACTCGTATATATATCTACTTTAACATAGACGTGTGCACGTTCGCAGTTTTATAGTGCCGAGAACAAGTCAGTTTTAGTCACATTTCGTATTTATCCGCCACCTCGTATCTCTCCGTAAGCTTTCCGTAACATTCGTGCCATTCCGCGAGTAGTCATTCCGCTTGTCCAGGAAAGACACGAGCGGTGGTCATAAATGAAAAGCAAGTCTCCCGGAAAGACACGAGTGGATGACGAATGCTGCAAGAAGCCATTCGGCTTGTGCCGGAATGCGACGAGTGGTCACGAAAGCAAGAAGGTATTTGATTTGTTGGACAAGAATGTAGTAGGACATGATGGGTGAAGAGATGAAAACAAACGTCACAGACTAATATTGTTGAGACTTCCAGGAACCCTTTAGGAACAATAACATACGAACACGTGCTTCCCATTTTACAGAAGCCTCCACAGACAACCTAGGATAGGTATGCAAACTTTCATTCATGTAACTTAAGTTGTTTCTGAGAAAACTTGCCCCCTTTTCACGCAGTATGCACTAAGTTGAAGAGCACGGAGCAAGGGCCATAACTCTGTAACAAAAGAATTTACGACACCAAATTTCGAATTCTTTTGAGATTATGACCAGTTACATCAGTGTGTACACTTTCATTTCTCGGACTGAAATAGTTTTTGAGAAACTTTGCCCCCTTTGAGAATCGGACGGAGGGACAGACGGACGAAATCCGTTCCCTTTTCCCCCGCGGCAGTGGATAATAATGTCATGCTATTATGCGTGAGATTCAAGTATATTGTAAAAGATTATTGACGAATTTACTTCAATATTTGTTGCGTTCGTGGGGGTATATCGGTATACACACTGAGTAAATCCGTGTAGTTTAAGCAAAATGAGAACAGGTCTTTACATTCATAACTACACAAACGCAAAAAAATATTGAAGCAAATTCATGTAAATATATACGTCAAAAATAATAGTTTCACAGACTGCTTATTACATCGATAACCACCAAAACTGAGACAGCAATACGAAATCAATGAGATATTTCAGCGCCTAATGCAACACAAGATCGCCCTTTCTACTATCAGCAATAATTAACCAGTAGTCCGTTCATGGGCATGGACTTGTTTTGGTTTATGAAAACATATCCACAAAACATATTGCTTGCTTAGCCAATCAAATGTCACGGAATCTCTTGCGATTTATTGACGAAAGTAGATGTACATTTCTAAGTGGACGTATATTGGATACAGTGATAAGAAAAAAACACTCGAAAAAACATACAAGTAAGTAACATTATACTTCTCAACGTGTTTCGGGTTGCAGGGAAATGTCTCTCTTGAAGTCTCTCAAGAGAAAGCACCAATACCAACACTAGTTATAGACGTGGTACACAGACAGTACAATTTTACTCGACAAGTAGGGTGTATAAAGCAGATATTAATACGAAAAAGGTTAAATACTGAAAGCTGTATATAAAGTCGGATACTAAGTTGAAAAACTACAAAAAATAAGATACCAAAAATATACTTTCGATTAAACAAAAAATGGTACATCATATCATGGTAAAAAGAGTAAGGGTAAAAATTACGAAGAATTTTAAAATGTATAAAGTCGAAAGAATCCCTTGCAAGTCTAGCGCCTTTCTTCCCTCCCCTAATCTATGCCAGTAATAGACCACGCAAGATGACAAAAGGCTTCTCTTCGAGTTTGCTTTAAAACCCTTTTTGATATGACATGTATCAAGTATAATATCCTGGTGACACTACATGTTAAGGCTCAGAAGTAGTGGGGCGGCGTAGTTATTGTTGTTATTTACAGATGTGTGGATTCGGCTTCTATGAAACTTGGATTATCATAGGCGGTGGCGCCGTTCTGGGGAGCAAATTTCTGGGGAATATCTCCCGCCTCAGCGTCACGCTGTCTTCTCAGCATATACTTGGCATGTTTCGACGCATCCTGCTCTTCGTTGCTCTTGTAGCGACACTTGTAGATAGCGCACATCAAAACAAGCGGCACGCAGAAGACGGCAGCTGCAATACCGCCAACCATGACGTTGTTCCGGTAAATGTCGAACTTGTCCCGAACTGTGGGTTGATATAAGTTGATTGCACGGTTGATCTTTTGGACAAAAACCGAACTTCTGTGAACCATGCAGAGGTAGACGCCACTGTCTTCATTCTGTATTTTCTTGACCATTAGCGTGATTCCGGGAACCGTCCCTGTGTCTGACAAGCGGTACTTGTCACTGCTCGTCATGATTTCCATACCTTTCGGCGAGTGCCATTTAACCACGTCGCCAGGTTGCACAAGGGCATCAGTGTCGTTGCAGTGGATCTCGATGTCGGAATCTATTTCTGTCTGGTACGACCATTCGGGTCTCTTGTGAAATTCCAAATCGGCAGACTTTGCTAGTCCAATGACTGTCACCAAGAGAAGTGCACTCACGTGAAAAGCCATAGCGAGTATCTGAAACAAAGAACCCTTATATAACTACATGTATCTTGTATGCTAATATTTACCAGCGGGTATCAGAATTGGGTCGTACACCTTTGCAAATGCATTTCATTTCGTTTGTTAGTCTTCCTTATCTATGATTCACCCTTGGGTGAGTGAGTGAGTGAGTGCGTGAGTGCGTATGGTTTTACGCCGCTTTTAGCAATATTCCAGCAATATCACGGCGGGGGACACCAGAAATGGGCTTCACACATTGTACCCATGTCGGGAATCGAACCCGGGTCTTCGGCGTGACGAGCGAACGCTTTAACCACTGGGCTACCCGACCGCCCTATTCACCCTTGGGACTAGTTACTTATTACAGGTGTTGTGTGGTGTTGTGTTTGTCATGCACTTCATCACTTGTTTGTCTTAATAGGAACATGTTTCTGTATCTGGAAACGCTTTTTAAGGATGAGCAGGCACAGCCTAAACTGATAAGACCAAAATTAACGGTTTTAAGTGAAAGGACAAGGTTTGATAAGGGCATTTTCAGACCCATGGGATAGGCATTTTTAAGAAATTAATACCTGAATTGTTTGATAGGCACTACTTAGAAGTTGATGGAAGACAAAGTAGTCACAATTTATGGATAACAACTTCTTTAATACTGTAAAGGAAACGTTTCGGTATAGATCCTTATACCCATGTCTTGCTTGACAAGAAGTTGCTTAAAGAAGTGAACAAAGGGTGTACTTGATATAAAATGTGTACTTGATATAAAGGGTGTACTTGATATAAAGGGTAGTACTTGATTTAAAGGGTAGTACTTTGATATAAAATGTGTACTTGATATAAAGGGTAGTACTTGATTTATAGGGTAGTACTTTGATAGAAAGGGTGTACTTGATATAAAGGATGTACTTGATATAAAGGGTGTACTTGATATTAAGGGTAGTACTTGATATTAAGGGTAGTACTTGATAGAAAGGGTAGTACTTGATATAAAGGGTGTACTTGATATAAAGGGTGTACTTAATATAACGGGTGTACTTGATATAAAGGGTGTACTTGATATAAAGGGTAGTACTTGATATAAAGGGTGTACTTGATATAAAGGGTAGTACTTGATATGAAGGGTGTACTTGATATAAATGGTAGTTCTTGATATAAAGGGTGTACTTGATATAAAGGGTGTACTTGATATTAACGGTAGTACTTGATAGAAAGGGTAGTACTTGATATAAAGGGTGTACTTTGATAAAGAGGGTGTACTTTGATATAAAGGGTGTACTTGATAAAAAGGGTAGTACTGATATAAAGGGTGTACTTGATATAAATGGTAGTACTTGATATAAAGAGTGCACTTGATATAAAGGGTAGTACTTTGATACAAAGGGAAGTACTTGATAAAAAGGGTGTACTTGATATAAATGGTAGAACTTGATATAAATGGTAGTTCTTGATATAAAGGGTAGTGCTTGATATAAAGGGTGTACTTGATATAAATGGTAGTTCTTGATATAAAGGGTGTACTTGATATAAAGAGTAGTACTTGATATAAAGGGTGTATTTTTGTATAAAGGGTAGTACTTGATATAGAGGGTGTACTTTGATATAAAGGGTAGTACTTGACAGAGGGTGTACTTTGATATAAAGGGTGTACTTGATATAAAGGGTGTACTTGATATAAAGGGTAGTACTTGATAGAAAGGGTGTACTTGATATAAAGGGTAGTACTTGATGTAAAGGGTAGTACTTGATATAAAGGGTAGTACTTGATATAAAGGGTGTACTTGATATAAAGGGTAGTACTTGATAGAAAGGGTGTACTTGATAGAAAGGGTAGTACTTGATGTAAAGGGTAGTACTTGATATTAAGGGTAGTACTTGATATTAAGGGTAGTACTTGATAGAAAGGGTAGTACTTGATAGAAAGGGTGTACTTGATAGAAAGGGTAGTACTTGATAGAAAGGGTAGTACTTGATAGAAAGGGTAGTACTTGATATAAAGGGTAGTACTTGATGTAAAGGGTAGTACTTGATGTAAAGGGTAGTACTTGATATTAAGGGTAGTACTTGATATTAAGGGTAGTACTTGATATTAAGGGTAGTACTTGATAGAAAGGGTAGTACTTGATAGAAAGGGTGTACTTGATAGAAAGGGTAGTACTTGATATATAGGGTAGTACTTGATGTAAAGGGTAGTACTTGATGTAAAGGGTAGTACTTGACATAGAGGGTGTACTTTGATATAAAGGGTAGTACTTGACAGAGGGTGTACTTTGATATAAAGGGTGTACTTGATATAAAGGGTAGTACTTGATAGAAAGGGTGTACTTGATAGAAAGGGTAGTACTTGATATATAGGGTAGTACTTGATGTAAAGGGTAGTACTTGATGTAAAAGGTAGTTTTAGGCATATAGGTAAGTATTCAATATTAAAGGTAGTATTAGGTGTGAGGACATATACAGATTAGGTCAAAGTTGAAACTTAAATTAAACGAGCCTGACCACCTTGTCCCCATCAGTTCGTTCAAACAGCTATAAACTAGGGGCCACTGAACACCACAATAAACATTTTCTTGAGTGGTTCTGTGCATTATTTTGTGTTTACATTTTCCTTCAATATCCATTGCTGGATATCAAATTGAATGGCCCAGTTGGACGCTTGTTTTATCCCTATTCTGATATGTTGCATATTTTAAATAGATTCCACACCCTTCAAGATATTTGAAATTAAAATGTATATCTTTAGACTCAATTTGGAGGGTTATTAATGTTGTCGACTTCTTTTTGAAAAACTTTGTGTTTTGAACCCTTATTTTGAACTAGTCAAGACTATGGGTATTTTAATGTTGAACTTTAGTAATATTTGTACGGAAGCTCCGTATATTTGTTATTTGTATTTGTTACATTTATAACCAACCGTGGCCCCTTTTCGGAATGTTCTAAGATAGCAACCTTTGTACCCTGTGTACTTACCCGTTGCAAGAGAACAATGTTCTCAAAGCGTACTTGTCGTCATGGTAGAATGCAGATAAACCTGTTGTGGTTTGAAATTTGATGTAGTCCCACTGTAGAGTAAATACCTCTTATATATATAGCGGTCGGTTCCAAATTAAAATAAGAGGCATGTACTCTTCAGTGTGACTACTTTCAAAACACAGCAGGTTTATCATATATATATATTGGCAAGATATTTATTGCACTATTTATACATATTAATTCATACATTACACACAACCTAATATTGAATTAGTTAACGTTGCATTGCACTACACTGAAATATGTGATAGGAACTCCACACCCTTCAAGGTATTTGCTTATTCAACGAGCACAAAGATCTGATTTTAATGAGATTGTTTGGTTATGCTGACACACCTCGATCTATGTACCCACATTACGTGCTGCGTATTACCCCTAGCGTACCCCTCAGTTGTTCGTAAGCGGTATACAGGTACACAGACTATGGGCAACACCGCGCGTCTCTATACGGGGCAATCAGAGCAGGGAGGGGAGGAATGCAACAAGGTTTAAGGGTTTGGGGAGAACCCTACCTAAGGTTTACTGCATATACAAAAGATGTAGAGCGCGTTACCTGTAAGCTTTGTTGATGGACAAGGTGGCTGTGTGGTTATCCCTGAATGTGCTGACAGCGTTATGCATGGATGGTTTCCTTCAAACAGGTATCGACGGAACGGGGTCATTGACTTGAAAAGAGGGAGGTACGGGGGTTGTGGGGTATTCGTGTTTGTGGTAGGTTTGACCCTTCTCGTCGAGTCACTTAAACTGATGGAGAGAAAATAGTCAGGGGTCGCCACCCCGCAACCCCTACCTATTTTTGACATATGATGTCATTTTGTGTGAACTTTGTATACCATGATGATTTGGTTGTTAAAGCAAAAATAATAGTATTTTCAATATCGTGTTTGTGATCATGGATCCGCCCCTGGTTTATGCTGTGAGGATATGTAGACATACCGTCATATATGCTGCACGCACAATGGTCAAAATAAACCCCTGGACACTTATTCAGTGTCATGTCAGGGAATGTGGCTATGTGATTCATTAACTAAACAAGTTGTGTATATGTGAACTATCTATCGTACAAATCTCGCAGAAAATGACATTTTGTCAAAGTGCATGCACGTGACTGGCTTCTGATACAAAGGTCGCCTCTGCTGTTTCACTGAAACGCCTTGACACTGTTGTCTGTCAACATTCCAAAGCTGAACTTGGTACGTGTGTCCAACAACTCAGCTCTACGTGCTGACATCGTTTACAACATAAACTGCGACTCCTAAGTGCGCTCAACGGAGTTTCAACACCTGTATAACGCCGCCATAGGATGTTCTCTTTAGCCGTCACCATATTTGTCCGTTGTGTGGCGACATGGCGGTAGAGCCATGGCCGAGTCACGTAACTAAGTTACCTAATTAAATTATGTGAGCCCAAATAGACACAAACTGGTATGTGACAATTTTATAAAGAAATTATACAATATATGGAAAAGATATCCGAAATTACCTGTTGGGGAACGTTCAGAAATCTCTGTACCAAGATCCAGTGAAGCCTCGCCCACTTGAAAAGCTTATTACTCAATGTGCACACGTGATACAATTTGAACAACCGATACGCAGGTAGGTGCAGCTCAGTGTCAACTGTGTCAAACAATGAAATTATGACCACTATTTTACACTGTCTCCGTAAAGGCACACTCCCAGTGTGACCCGACTTGTCTCCCTAATGGAAAGGCTCGTCTTTGTGTGTAGCCATGCGGGACCACCGAAATACCTGTACTACAGGCTTCTTGGGTGACGGTGGTTTTGACCTGTTGTTAACTGCAATGATTTATTTACTGTTTTTATACACATATACATACACGGCGGGGTGTTAGTGTTCTTGTTTATGGTAGTATACTGTAGTCAAACAACCATTTCGCTCTTAGCTTCGGTTGCGTAAAACAAATTGAATGAGAAAGGGGCTTTGTTTGATTTGTATAGTCGGAATAGAGGTGTTCTCAAATTAGAAACCTCGTGGTAATACTCAGCTTGGTAATATATACCAGAATAAATGGGTATCGACGTCACCGTTGTGTCAACAAATATGAAACCATACTGAGATCTAGAAATGGCAATATTACCAATGCCCCGTAAACAGTTGCCACCCTGAAACAGTACCCCGTAAACAGTTGCCACCCTGAAACAGTACCCCGTAAACAGTTGCCGCCCTGAACCAATACCCAGTGGACAGATGCCATCCTGAACCAATACCCAGTGGACAGTTGCCACCCTGAACCAATACTCACTGGACAGTTGCCACCCTGAACCAATACCCAGTGGACAGTTGCTGCCCTGAATCATTACCACGTGGACAGTTGCCACCCTGAACCAATACTCAGTGGACAGTTGCACCCTGAACCAATACCCAGTGGACAGTTCCACCCTGAACCAATACCCGGTGGACAGTTGCCACCCTGAACCAATACCCAGTGGACAGTTGCCACCCTGAACCAATACCCAGTGGACAGTTGCCACCCTGAACCAATACCCGGTGGACAGTTGCCACCCTGAACCAATACCCAGTGGACAGTTGCCACCCTGAACCAATACCCGGTGGACAGTTGCCACCCTGAACCAATACTCACTGGACAGTTGCCACCCTGAACCAATACCCAGTGGACAGTTGCCACCCTGAACCAATACCCGGTGGACAGTTGCCACCCTGAACCAATACCCCGTGGACAAATGCCACCCTGAACCAATACTCACTGGACAGTTGCCACCCTGAACCAATACCCGGTGGACAGTTGCCACCTTGAACCAATACCCAGTGGACAGTTGCCAGCCTGAACCAATACCCCGTGGACAATTGCCACCTTGAACTATTAATACCCTATGGACCTGTCATTCAGTCCATCTTTGGAGCAAGGCTAAGTCGATCCGTATGGCAATTGACATTTGTCCTAGAGGATATTGTTCAGTTGTGAATGGTCTTGTGGCCATTGTCCTAAGTGCCAGTTTTCCTTGATGGTACCTGAAAGTGTGGCACTCGCCGATTGCTTTAAGAATAGTGGTGGGGTTACCCACTAAAATGTAGACCGAGGCAACATGGGATAATCATGACTTGTCCAGATCTTTCATTGCCATGTTGCACTCGCTGTCATATTTGGGTTTCTCCTGTGATATTGCTTAAAACAATATTCATTTATTCGAAAGAGACAACCACCTGGTCAGGCTCGGAGACTTAGTAGATCTTATAATATAGTGTCATAGTAACAGTCCTTTTTGAGGAAGTATGAATATTTGTGACCAAACGTTTTTAATTGGTTTATTTGATGCATTCGGGAATCATCAGTGAAAGACTCACCTCAGAGCTGTAGATCACCGGTCCAAGTGACATTTTGTTTTTTAATGTCTGAATCTTTATGCGTAGATCTAAATATGAAACAGATGAAGCGGTCTCACCGGTCTCCGTCATTTCTAGTCCCGGCGGGTAAATCAGTGGAAGGGAATTGGCTATTTGATGGTTATTGAACGATCTCAGATCATCGCTTAACCTGGAGCTGAAGTTAAACTTATTACCTTGTTTTGACTCTGCCAATCCGAGCAAATATTCTGATTCACATGCATAAAGAAACATATCAGCAAGAAGGGGAGCGCAATTGGTGCCAATGGTGATGCTTACTTCTTGCCTAAATGTCTAACCCCCTCATTTTACATAGATATTATGAACGAGGAAGTGCAGCATTTCACATATTGGTTTCCCAGTACAATTCAGATCGCATTTTCTTTGACGTGAACCTATGGTTATATGTAACTATATCTATGGACACCACGTTTTGTAACAAGAGCCCCTTGCATCAAGGAATTTATTTTTTCATAAGTTTGTCAAGTGGGATAATGGTGTAAAAAGTTGAAAAATCATATTTGTAACAGAAATTAACCTGGTTCTTCTCTGAGATTGTAAAAAAGTCAATCAAATCCTTTGAGTATGGAGAATCCACGTGGTATTTATTCCACTTGTCTCAAACACTTTCTGTGAATATAAAGAAAGTCTTTCCTTGATTGTTTTAAGGACTAGGAGACAGAATCTTTGATACAGGGATTTGGTGGTACATTTCCTGGACCCAGCAATACATCTCTCTTTGTGTTGATTTTTAAAGAGCTTTGGAATCCAGAACAAAACAGGAATTGACCTGTCTTCAGGTTTTAGAGTCAAATCAAAAGTTGATAGATTGCATGGTTCGAGCAGATTTCTTCCTCAGTTAACATACTGGCCTTAATTGTGGCATTATTTGATATGTCACTTATACCCAGTTCTTTGATCAAACAATTAATGTAGTGATTATGTTATTTGAGGCCTTATCAGTGGGTGCTAGTAGAGACTTTTCATGTAGGGCAGCCAGACTTTGGATGACAGCTGGGTGCGACAGAATGGGTTTGTTCCATTTCTGTTTCCTCTTTTTCCGTTTGTGCATTCTACTTTTTGGAATATGCTTCGACGGCATCCATAAAGATTTTAAAGTTGTGATCCCAAATGATCAGGAGGTTGCTTACGATATTTTGGTCCATGTTTGAATAACTGAAGTTGGTTGTCAACAACAGAGACGTCATCTGTGATTATATGACCTACAGGCTGGTAGCAGTATGATGAGTCTTGGCAGCCGCAAGTAGTCGAATTTACACCATGTGCTGCAAAGAAATAGGATTCAACGCCATTCGTCTTTAGAGGTCCATTAGTGTTCTATTGGTGATAAATCTGGTCAGTGTGTTGGCCAAGACAAGATGTTTTTTGAGGCCTTGTGTTGTGTTACTTTGTTGAAACAGGGCCCGGGGATCCTGTTGCATGGACGGTAGTACAACAGGGTGGTCCGGGATTGGAACACACACTCCAGAGTGAGGCACCTAATCGCCAGCTCAAAAAGTCAGCGATCTGACCAATTTAGACATCGAGGCTACAAAAAAAATGAAAGTTCGACAACTGGTAGTCTAGCTCAGTTACTCAAAGTGTAATCCCAAACATAATATTTAGAAATCTAATATTTGTTGATCTGAAATGGTTTAGTGAACAGGGAGAAATGTTAACATTCTAACCATTTGTTGAATTTGAAATGGGAGGTAATAAATAGCTCAGCTCTCGTGTATGAAAAAAATCTCCAAAAGTGAAGACCGACCCCACCCCAACCCAACCACCACCACACACACACACACGCCCTCCGACACTGTCAAAACAATATGTTTTCATTTTCCGGGTTTTACTTGAAAATCGACCTAACCGGAAGTTTACATTTTTCGACTCGTAAGGCGGCGGGAATTTCGTACTGGGAACAACTTTCAGAAGTGTTGTGATATGATGCAGTAAAAAGCGATATAAAGACATGATCACCGAGTGATAGTGGTGCGTTTGTAATATATTTGAAGCGAATCGGGCTAACGTAGTCAGTTGTAGTTATCATCGTCACTGACGACTTTGGGTGACCGGGACATCTTTTCGAAGCTGCTGTATTAAGATAATCAGCTTTGTCGTGTATATTCAGTGACAGTGACCATTGCTGACAGCTTGAAGTTGCCATGTAAATGTCTTACAAATAGATTAAACGCAGTCCGCGACACAGAGTGACTGGGTGCACCTAGAGAGACGACTCAAAATTCAGTCCGGACCAAAATAACCGGACATTATATTGACAGAAAGAATACTAAAAGTAGAAAAAATTGGGGTCCCGTGATTCAAGTAGTACAGCAACAAATCTCAAGCCCCTATGAAAACACAGTTTGTGATATCCTCCACCGGTTTCTTACTAGTTTGAAAAAATTGAAAAAGCCTTGAATTTTAAGGTCCCTCATGAAAAGCTTTGATTTTACCATGAAGAATTCATGCCAGATTAATTTATTTTTTGGATGGTTGAAAAATAAATCTTGTTAAAAAATATGTGATGGTCATACTGCTTTTTAGGTCTTACAACTAATATACAGTATGCTGGATTTAATAAAATATTGACCCAACTTAAAAAGCCTTGAAAATGACAGTTAGCAGCCTTGAAAAAGTCTTGAATTTTAGTGTTCCATATCTTAAATAGCCTTGCTCTAATGAATGATACCCAATAGGAAGAAGTCCTCTTGTCTAACAACCACTACCCAGGTAATAAATGGGGTGCAGGCTAAAACGGCACCTCAGCAAAACGTCACCGATAAATGTCATATTCTGAGTTTTGTTTGTTCAGAAATATTCCTCCATCTCCATTGTCAGTGATGTAGGCAGTGCGTGGATGACAATAAGCTTGATAAAGGTAGTCAATCCAGGCATTTATCATCTGATCATATTTTTTTGGACATATGTTTTTTGTCGGTCACGTTTATCGCGATTACTCAAGCTATAGAAAGGGATGTGGCGTAACAGGCATTGTAAATACTCAGTAACTGTTTTAAAGATAAAGTCGTCTTTTATAAATGAGTGAAATGTTTTACAGTTGTTCTTGTGATTAGGGGAAAAACTCCAAATGTTACTTAAGCGTCCGAAAACCCATAACTGGGGGTACTAGTATTAATTGTGTCACAGGGTAGTCTACTCCAAAGCTGTAACAACACTGTTGTTGTGGGGATGTAGGAGGGTGTGGAGTCATCCCATAGATGATATCCTCACCTTGTCGGGGGGGCACGGGTGGCCCAGTCGTCGAAGGTGCTGCGATTCGCTGTGCAGAGTTGTGTCCCTTGGGCATGCCAGAAACCTATGATTATGGGTTCGAATCCCAGTTCGCCCCGATTATGTTTCTAGGTTTGTCAGCACCATACCCGGGCTCCAGGGTTTCACCGAAGTGGTAAACGTCGGAGACCTGCATCACTTCGGGCTTTCCTCCCACGTTAAGCTGACACGTTGTGATATAACTGGAAAACTGTTAAAAGCGGCGTTAAACCAGACTCACTCACTCACTCACTTACCTTGTCGGCTTGCTGACGGGTTACACATCTTTGATCATGTGGACAAGGCATCCGATCTTGGATCATATGATTTTGAAAATGTCGCTACACAGAGAAGGGTATTCCATTGTGACATAGTTAAGTCACCAGTTACTTTGTATTCCAGGCTTTGGGTATCGCTCAATGACTTGCTTTGATTAAAACCTGATCTGGCATTATATCCTTTCTCCTAGATTATGAATCACACAGTTCAATTTGTGGGCTACAATTACATATTTTACAGGTCTAATGGCAATAGTATTTTGATTCCAGACAATGTCCTTGTCAACCGTCCTCAAGAATGTGTACACATTTGCCCATATTCTGGGTCAGGCCAACGGGAGTGAAGCAGGACTATGGGATGTACAGTCACTGAATAATGCACTCAAATGGGCAGCTTATTGCCAGAAGGTGACATCAATACATTTCTTTTTCAAGAAGTGAAAAATAAATATCTTGAGAGTTAATTTTGTAAATTTCATACTCTATCAATTCAAATTTATTAACATCAGCACTAAACAAATAATTGGCTGCAACAGAAACATTTACACGTTTACGTTTAAGATTAGGGAGTTTTTTTGTGTTTATTATAGGGTGGATGAGATTTGTCTTCAGACCATCACATTTTTCCAGCCCTGTCATTTTATGTAACTTTTTTCATGACCAACAAAACCCCACCCACCAACCCATGTAATAAATGACCAGTCCCTAAATAAGCCCCATTTTACACTTACAGAATAAAAAAATGTGTTTTATCTAGAGAAAGAGAGTGAGGGGATATTCCGACATTCACAAAGTGGAGGGGGAGAAGGGGGGAATGGTAGAAAGAAGTCTCGATTGATGTGTGAAATGGGCAATTTACAGTTAAAAAGAAACATTTTCATGAGAATAACAAATGACAAGTGTGGATTCATTCACTACAAAAAATGGTCTCGTAGATTTCAAGAATATTTTTTTAAGTTGATCTTGTATATATCATATCCAAAGGTATGATATTGAATTTTATTGAAAGCTTGTTTTGTGGACCAGGATCATAGTCTATTTAGCGCAAACATGTGATGTGTGATGCCGATAGTGTGCTGGATCTTGTAGTGCTAGAGAGGCTGGTATTCACTTCCATATTTGCTTACTGCCAGATCCACCAGCAGGTGAGTGGACAGAGAGTTGAGGAAGCCGTTGACAAGAAGCTGGTGGAGATGTTGCTGTTAATTGACCCTCCCAGTCGAGTGTGTCTGTCAGTCGACCTCATGGGGCAGGCTACATCACTGCTGCAGCAGGTACCCCCTCAACAACCTTTAACAGGGATTTATCTAGGATTTTTAAACTAAGTGCCTTTGGCGGCAAATTTGCAAGAAAATTGTGATATTCCACATTTGATTTTTAAAAAATGTTCTTATTATTTACATGCAGCGCCTATATAGGTGGAATATTGCAGAGTGTGGCGTTAAATAACAAACTCCCAACAAGCAGAGCGCTGATACTAGGCCATAATGCCATTAAGGGGCCCGTGAAGATTCCGGGGTAGAATAGGTCTTCAGCAACCCATGCTTGCCGTGAAAAGCGACTATGCTTGTCGTAAAAGGCGACTAATGGGATCGGGTGGTCAGGCTCGCTGACTTGGTTGATGCATGTCATCGATCCCAATTACATGGATCAATGCTCATGATGTCAATCACTGGATTGTCTGGTCCAGACTCGATTATTTACAGACCGCCGTCATATAGCTGTAATATTGCTGAGTGCGGCGTTAAACAACAAACCAACCAACCAACCAACCAAGCCATTAAGGATTCAATTCAGGACAATGAAGGTTCAGCATCCTAAAACAATATCTTGACTTTGAACCCATTTCCTTAAGCAACGCTAAATTGGAAAGAAAATACTTCAGTAAAGAAGCATGATGTCAGAAGACTACATGTTCTGTCTATTGTCAATAGGGCAATCTTATTTTCTCTGGACAACTTGACACCCAGAGCTGACTGTAGTACTTAATCTGTCTGATCTGTTTCTCCCTGACAGACCCTACTGCAGAACCCCAACACCAGTGTCGAGGTGCTGACAGAGCTGAAGGCCACTGACACTCCCAGTCACACCATGGAGGAGGTAGGACATGAACCAGCAAATATTGTAGATGGCATCTTCCCAATCTCATTAAAATCAGATCTTAGTTCTCGCTACCGCTAAACAAAGATCTGAGGACATCCCATTACGGGTCACGTCAGACCGACCTTGTGCGAACTTTGACCAACCAATGGAATGACCAGTCAGAGGGCAGCTTTCTCGTGCTTTACGGCACTAATTTCAAATTGGCGACTTCGCTTCGAAACGTATTTTGACAAATTCTCGATTACAAATTTGAAACCTGAACAAAAGAACATTCTGGAATGGCTATTAGATGGTCTAGATTGTATGGATTCAGTCGTTAAACCCGTAACTATCGTTCGGAATACCCCGTGTTAAAGTTTTCGAGGTTGCATGATTAAAAATCACACTCAGACTGTCACTTTCATAATCTGGTAAGCGATGCTCTGATTAGTCGGATGAAAGGTCGTTCTGACGTGACCCGTAATGGGATGTCTTCAGATCTTTGTTTAGCGATAACGAGAACTAAGGTCTGATTTTAATCAGATTGTCATCATCCCGGGGCAAAGGTGTTAACTGATTGTAAAAGTCCAGTTTCCACTCTTGCCGAACTAGGCTGGAATGTACCGGATGGATCGTAGCACCACCAGTGGCTATTACGAGTTATGCCCCATCTATGTCCCTCCAACTGACCAATCTGATTCCTCCTCTTGTATCACTTGCATTTTCTTCAAACAAAATGACGTTGCCCTGTCAAGACATTCTGATTGATAATTAAAACCATATTGTAATAAACCAGGTCTTACCTCGCGATGTGCATCATTTTCAATTGATTAATAACATGGAAAGATTTGCGAAATATCTGTCCATGTCCAATTGGCAGTGCACATGCTTTGCAAATCCTGCAGTCGACCGAAATCTGCATGTTGAGATCCATGTTGTTAGCGAACCGGATGTCTAGTTCGTCATGCGATTTTGATTGGACTACGAATAGACTTGTTAGTCAAGCCAAAATGTAACTCCTGAATTCCAGTCTATGTCGGCAAGGGTGGAAACTGGACTTTTATAGTCAGTTAATGCCCTTGCCTCGGGAAGATGAGTTGATGGAAGCATGGAAGAAAGAGGAACATAATGTGTCCATGACCTTGGCAATGTCTCAGGCAAGGACTTCTGCATGTGTGTGATCTTGTTTTCCACACTGAGCACTGACACCAGTGATCATGAATTTAGTGCTGACAGATCCCGGATTCAAACCCTTATAAGTATATCCTTGTATGGCAAATCTGTGCAGTGCATTCTGGTGCCTTAGATGACTGGGCCACATGTGTTTCTCCTCTCCAATCCTGTTTAGCATAACATCTATTCAAATGATATTTTGGCTAGAACCCCACCAGCGAAATATTCCCCTAATTGGAAGAGATGTCAGAAGGTGATTGGTAAGGCTGGGACTGGTAACTCAGGTACTTTGGTCGGGTGGGTCCTGAGTAGGACCCGGATACCCACAGGACTACCCAGACCCATGGTTAGTCACGTGATATATTGTTTAATGACAAAAATTATCTAAAACTCTATGGTTACACTATAAATTACTAATGTTCCAAATTCTTTCTGACAATGCACCTGTTCCTTCTGACTTTTATATGTTTGAATAAAGATAAAACTTCAGTGTATGCATGACCAGATCGTTTTATATGTGTATCTAAATACATTTTGCCAGGGCAAAGGTCAAACTTTTCCAAATCGGAAAAATATCTCTAAATATCTGCAGCAGGTACCTGGGTAGGGTAGGGTCGGGTAATAGGGTGGTGGGTACCCAGGTACTAAATTTTGACTCGTCCCAGCCCTAGTTATTGCATTCTGTTGAAACCTTCTATCAGGGTTTTATGCGATGCACAAATGAGCGTCCATTACACACAAATGTAGAGAATGGATGCAGAAAACAAATATGCTACAACGCACAGTAATATTCACTGTACTAACGGCACATCAAGAGCAGTTATGGTTGTCTTGTCATTTCACTCATCAATCCTGACCACTGTCCACATGATCAATGATTAATTCAAGGCTCTAATGTAATTATCGAAACGTACAGTACACAATATTCCAGCTACGTGACAGCGGTCTGTAAATAATCGAGTCCTAGTGACCAGACAATCCAGTGATTTACATCATGAACATCGGTCCACGCTATTGGAATCGATGACATGCATCAACCAAGTCAGCGAGCCTGACCACCCGATCCCGTTAGTCTCCTTTTACAACAAGCATAGTCGCCTTTTATGGCAAGCATGGGTTGCTGAAGACATTTTTTGGACAATTGAGGTAATGTTAGACTTGTTAGTGATGGGACTGCTTTCTTGTTTGCATTTTGCACAACCTCTAGTTTAACTACCGTTGAAAATATCAGGAACCACACTGACAATAAATGTCCTATTTGGGGGCGCACATGTGGCACAGTTGACTGTGCAGAGTTGTGTCCCTTATCTGTGCCAGAAACCTATGACTTTGGGTTTGAATCCCAGTTCACCTGATTATGTTTCTTGGTTTGTCAGCTTGTGGTTTTCACCAGTGGTAAATGTCTTAAGACCTTTTGGTTTTCCTCCCTCCTCAAGCTGAGATAATGTTAAAAACAACATCAAACTCACTCACTCACTCCCAATTGTGTGGATCGATGATCATGATGTCAATCACTGGATTGTCTGGTCCAGACTCGATTATTTACAGACCGCCATCATATAGCTGGAGGGGCGGTCGGGTAGCCTAGTGGTTAAAGCGTTCGCTGGTCACGCTGAAGACCCGGGTTCGATTCCCGACATGGGTACAATGTGTGAAGCCCATTTCTGGTGTCCCCCGCCGTGATATTGCTGGAATATTGCTAAAAACGGCGTAAAACCATACTCACTCACTCACTCACTAACTCATATAGCTGGAATATTGCTGACTCACTCATTCACTCACTCCTGTATGCAGCTGTTGAGAAGACTGACCGAAGGACGGAGCACAGAGGACATGGAGGACATGGAGGACGACATCATGAGATGCATACAAGAAGAGAAAGTACAGGAGAAGAGAAAGTGGACGAGGGAACGAAGACGTACCCCTGTCCCCGACTCTGAGAACCCCCTGATCACTGCTCAAGCCACGTTCCTTGTGCCCCACATCTTGAAGCTGTCACAGCAAAGTTCTGATCTCTCCCGGTGAGAGTTTGGTTGATGTAAAGTGTTATCTAGAATGAAGGACATTTACAGGGTGGGGGACAGTACCCACAATACCACAGATGGGAGTCAACCCATACAAGCATGTGTACCTTACTAAGAAAGTGTAATCCCAAATATAACACTGGTGACAGTTGACCACATTCTAAAAGGCACTGTATATTCATAAGTAGGATTCTGTGTTTTTGTGGCCATGTATAAGTTAAAAGTAATTTGGGAAAAAAAATGAAATGTATGCTCACTGGTACATTGTATATTGACTTGGTACATTATTCACCTGTAAATCTCAGTGTAGTTGTAGCTTGGATTTCATGTGGAAAGTAGAATGTTATTAACAATTATTAGTGATATTGGGATGTCGCTCAAACAGCCTTAGATGGATAAAACTTTGACATTCAGGAGCAGGTGGGGTTGCCAAGTGGTTAAGGCATTCACTCGTCACTTCAAAGGCCTGAGTTCGATTCCCAACATGGGTACAATGTGTGAAGCCCATATCTTGTGGTGTGATTTTGCTGGAATATTGCTAAAAACTATGTAAAACCATACTGACTCACTAAGACACTATGCACATGATACATGTACTTGGTTACACAAAGTGGTTGTCAGTAATTATCATGTTAATAGTTTGAGGATTTAAGAATGTTGTCTGTTTCGTCGATGTTCAATGTAACACTCTGCAACATTCCTCTTATATTACCACACCCTTTCATTAGGGGTGTCACGATAAATCGAAATATCGATATATTGTTATTGGTAAGCACTTGTTAAATCAGTTTCCGATCAATAGTATGGATTTCAGTTAGGAATATCAATAGTTTTGATTGTAATTACCATTTACAATTTACACATGCTAATGTGGAAGTTTCTTTTTCCTAAATTATTAGGGTAAGGAAAAAACAAATCAGTCATATCTCAAACTTTAGTTTTTATTTGTTGTTATGGTTATCACATTCAAAGGATACTTCAGTACCAGGGTTTAATTCAACTCTAAAATCTATCTAAAATGATACACTGAAAACTATCAATATTTATCACAATAGTTGCTTGCAATATCAATAGTTATTGCAATAGTGATTTCCAGACCAATAGTCACCCCTACCTTTTATAAATACAAGTCGGGACCAGACTGACCAGTCAGCATAGGAAGCCGTATTGTAACATGGGGAATTTGGTTTGTCTTTGTGTTATGAAAAATTCCCATATTAATTACTAGTATATGAATTTGAGAACAGTTACATGGCTATGCGCTATTTTGTCATGTCTGTTTTAATGTACATAGGTACATATTTTATGACAAAGCTCTACAGTTAATAACAAACTTATACACTTTTTGACGCAGGTATGTGTACTTTATAACAAAGTTATACACTTTGTGACACAACATTTATAACAGGTATGCACTTTAGGACAAATAGAGAATCCCACCCTCGTGTATTTTGATATCAAATATATCAACACGAGTTGATAAAAGTGGGAAAACTCCGAGGCTTGCCAAGGAGTTTTTCCACTTTTGTCAAAGAGTGTTGATATATTTGATATCAAAAGACATGAGGGTGAGATTTTATTTATCATCCAACATCATTCTTCCAATTTTTTCAGTTTGTAGAGAGTAATACACTGTGTCTTAAGTGTAAAAAGTACTGCTAACAGCTTCAATAGCAGAGCCATCAGTGATGTCATTTGATTATGACGTCATGGTAACCAATTTATAATGGTATGCACTTTATGACAAAGTTATCATGGTTATACGCTACGCTATGACAAACAGCGTTAATAACACAGGAATGCACTTTGTAACAAAGTTATACACTTTATGACACATTTAAACACTTTATGACAAACAACATGTATAACATAGGAATGCACTTTTTGACAAAATGTGACATGTATGACAGGTATACACTCTATAACAAACATATACAATGTTTGCAGGCTACTACAGAGAATTCCACATTTCATCCTGGTCAAGGCAGCCTCTGCTGATTCATCTTTCCGGGAAGTGTATCTACGTCACCTGACTTCTCTAGCCAATCAGATGTCACCACACTACCATGATCAGTTAACCAATGGGAGGCCCTACTCATGGAGGTAATGTTATATTGTGAGTCAGGGTGTTGTACTGTGAGTCAGGGTGGTGTGTTGTACTGTGAGTCAGGGTGGTGTGTTGTACTATGAGTCAGGGTGTTGTACTTAGAGTCAGGGTGGTGTGTTGTACTGTGAGTCAGAGTGGTGTGTTGTATAGTGAGTCAGGTTGTTGTACTGTGAGTCAGGGTGGTGTGTTGTACTGTGAGTCAGGGTGGTGTGTTGTACTGTGAGTCAGGGTGTTGTACTGTGAGTCAGGGTGGTGTGTTGTATAGTGAGTCAGGTTGTTGTACTGTGAGTCAGAGTGGTGTGTTGTACTGTGAGTCAGGGTGGTGTGTTGTATAGTGAGTCAGGGTGTTGTACTGTGAGTCAGGGTGTTGTACTGTGAGTCAGGGTGGTGTGTTGTATAGTGAGTCAGGGTGTTGTACTGTGAGTCAGGGTGTTGTGTTGTACTGTGAGTCAATGCATTATTACAGTTTGAGATTTTATGAAGCTTAGTTAGTTTGTAAAACCTTCTTTCATGTACATTTTATTCTATTTCCTAGGTGTGAGTCAGAGAGAGGAAAAACAAATTTTCATGATCTAGTGACAGGTTTCCAGTCTCTTCTGGATATTGGAGGTCACACAAGGGAGACAACTGCTGCCCTGCTGATGGAAAGGGCACAAACATCTTACTTCAACATCTGGAGGGATATATGTCGAAAACTGTCCTGATATCGAAGAAAAATGTAAAGAGAAAAATTAATTTAATGATAGTATATACTGAGGTGTTAAGTTATGTGTAAGGATGGGGAGTACCAACAATTTCTCAGCTGAATTTGCAGTTCAGAGTTGTGTCCCTTGGCCATGCAAGGATCTGATGGCTGAAGATTCCCGGATAATCCTTTGTTTTTCAGCCTGTTTGCAGGAAGTGGTAAATGTGTGTAACCTGCCTCAGTTGGGCCTACGTCACTCTCACATTCAGTGAACAGTTGTGATATGACTGAAATCCTAAAATCCTGTCCAACACGTTCCAAGTCACATTACCTGTAGATTTGTGAGCAAGTGTTACCAAGTTGGCTGTTGGTTGGTTTGTTGATTAATGCCACACTCAGCAATATTCCAGCAAAATGACGGCGGTCTGTAAATAATCGAGTCTGGACCAGACAATCCAGTACTTGATATCACGAGCATCGATTCACGCAATTGGGATCGATGACTTGCATCAACCTGTACTTTCCCTGTGCTCATTGGGGAAGATAATTTTGTTACAAGAATAACCTGTTGTGGAAATTGGACAGAATTATTTGTTTTCCATATTCCACATTGTCTGTTGAACTTTACTGATGCAATGTCAAATAAACAAAAACATGTTTTACTGCGGTAATTGTTTCATTTCATCATGTTTATTCAATGTGTCTTGTTTGTTTTTTAAATACCGAAAATAATTGATATTTGTTCGAATGTTTGTAGTATACTTTTTGAGTTTTGCATAATTCGTTTTTAAGAAAAAGGTTATTACTCTATATATGTGTATCTGAGATTATTAGCACAATAATAATATCCAGCTCCTGTTTGGATTAGTCAGAAAGGTTTAATTAAGTCGTCTGTTAATTAAATATAACAAACCAGCTTGTAAAAGCTCTCCTCAAGATGAAATGGATAGAAAAGCGATAGTTATGTAAATGTAGTTGTTGATAGACATTTAGAAGTTGGAAGAACATGAATACATGACACTTTTTATGGATAGCATCTTCTTTTATTCTTTGTCACAACGTTTCAGAGCTACTTCTTTCTCCTTTGTTAGGTGAATGCTGAGTAAGTGCAAAGAGTTTACACACACACACACACACACACACACACACACACACACACACACACACACACACACAATATAGTGACAAAGCCAATGAGATAGGATTAATGTACAAAAATAATATAGTGACAAAGCTATTGGGATTAACAGCTGAGGATTCGATTAAGTAAATTGGAAATAATTAAGGCAATCAAGATGTCCATTGGAGTGTGAATGTTCACATTTTGGTAGTGTTATGGCCGATGGACAGCTACATGGCATCCTTTAAGATTCGGAGTCAGATATTCATTTTCAAAGTTTGACCACAGTTACCGTAACCTTAGGTCCAGGTTGAGGGTTGTTTGAAAAACTCAACATTTGGGTGCTCCCATCTTCCGAGGCGAGAGTGTCCTAGTCTGTCGAACAGACCCTGATACAAATATATATCAAATACAGCCCATGGAAGTCTATAATGTTTGGCAAGTCTAGATCACTGCAGTATCAGGAAATGAAGAGAGTCACTGGGCTCCTTTTTATTATATTTTTATTAAGATAACTGAACAACTGTTTCTTTCTGTATGATATGTTCATTTCAGAGACTAGATGTTAGTCTAAGAGTGTCCATGCACTAGCCTGTATCAAAGTTTAGTTTTCACTTCCATCGGGAAGGTTCAGGAATAAATGTAAACTTATTTTTTATTTATTTGTGTTGTGTTTGTGATATATTTAAATCTTGGACAACATTGATAATTGGATCATTCATCTCCCTAGCTGGTACCCCAGTGGTGTTTTAGTTGCTGATTTGCCAGGCCCAGACACAGTTGTTTATCACGATACAGTTTGAACTGCATTCACTCAGTTCCAATAATGGCAAAACATGCGATTGTGAGTCATAAATACAAGGGCTGGGACGAGTCCACATTTACTACCCGAGTACCCACCTCCCTATTACCCGACCCTACCCGGGTACGCGCTGTAGATATCAAGAGATAGGTCCGATTTGGAAAAGTTTGACCGTAGCCCTGGCAACATGTATTTAGTTATACGTGTAAAACAATCTGGTCATGCATACACTGAAGTTTACTGCATAAAGTTTTATGTTTATTAAGACGTATAAAAGTCAGAAGGAATGGTGCATTGTCAGAGAGAAATGGGAACATTAGTGAATTATAGTGTAACCCAGAGACCTTATCGGTATATGGTCTCTGTGTAACCACAGAGTTTAAGATATTTTTTGTCATAAAACAATATATCACTTAAAAAATGACTAACAAAGGGTCCGGGTAGTCCTGTGGGTACCCGGGTCCTACTCAGGACCCACCCGACATGAGTTACCCGTCCCAGCCCTACAAATACATGTATTGTTTTGTAGAAGGATTCTTGTTATATGAACTAGATCTATGGCAAAGAATGAAGTTTGTGCCAGTTTTATTTCTTTTCTTCAATATGCAGTAAAATCTTGCGTTTTATTTACAACAGCGATCTAGAATTAATTATTACAGCATATCAAATTGACGCCATAAAGTTCCATCAGTTAGTTTCATTACTTTTATTCTTATCGTTTTCAGTGTGAGTTCATTTACCGTAAAATATGATGCAGTCCTGAGGACAATCTCAAAAACATCGTGGTGTTGCCATAAAATTATGAAATTCTTTTGTTTGACATAAGAAGATAGATCTAGTCATGACATGATAGAAATCTAGACGCTGCCATATTCATACCATGTTTCAATTAATACAAACAATTAATGTACTTGCTTTCTTCATTCGAGCACAACCTGTTAGTCATACCACGTTCATGACAGGCAGTCGGACGGTTAACCGCGCCACACCGTATCACAAGGCGAGAGCTGAAGTGGTGAAGAATAAAAGCAGCTAAAATCTCCCGCGTAAATGTAAGCCTCCATAGCTCAGTGGTTAGAGCACTGGTCTTGTAAACCAGGGGTCGGGAGTTCGATCCTCCCTGGGGGCTGGTTGGTTAACTTTTTTTATTTTATGGCTGATTTAATATTTTTATTTATTTATTTTGACTGACAGCATTTTCATTTCTTCTATCAAATGTGTTTTTGCGGGAAAAAAACAAATAAATCATTTTTATATGTTTTTTAGCGTATTCTACACATTTACATTAAATTATGCGTAATTTAGAATTGTCACTATCTACTGGCATGTGCTGGAGCAATAAATATTGTAATTGAATATCAGGTGTTTATGAGATCGATAATAGGTTTTGATATTGATCTACATCAAGGGTATTTGATCTGATTCTCTCATACAAATTACCATTTTTTACTGTGTCATAGAGCTATATAATACCTTATACTGACATGATTACAAACATGAAGTAAATACTAGTGCAAGAACAATACAGTAGTATATTATTATGCATACATGTGTATACGTGTCTTCATTAGTGACATTCCCACAAGTATCCACGCAGAAATAAGGCCAATATCACCTGACGTGACGTTACCTAACTTTTGCAGTTGTTTGTCAGAACTGGGCAGTATATTTCATATCACCATTTAACTCACTGCAATATTAATGTCATTGCGAAAATATATTTTCTGTAATAAATTCCTCGTTATATTTCCCTTCACCGAGATACCCAGGAACAAATTAAGAAATTTATTGGTGTTGCATATAAGCACAATTAAAATGGTTCTTGTTTTCATTTACGATTGAACCAGCATCAGCATTTATAAGGGGTATATATTTTAGTTACTGACCAGGGCCGTAGTTAACTTTTTTGGAAGGGGGGGGGGGACTGCCCTCCATGCCCCCCGGCTGGCTACGGCACTACTGACCAATAACGAATTCTTGTGATTAAACTATGGTTTGGCTGACAATGACAATGGAATTAATTCAGTTACCATAGCATCGCAATTTATTAATGATTTCATTATGATCTGGACCAGTTTAATAATGATTTTTTCTGAATCTAGACCAGTGATTGTCTTGGTCGGCAAACAGGAAGGATGGTGAAGTTGGAAGAGTATTTAGATCACAAAAGGCGAGATCCAGCTTGCACTGGTATGTCATCATACGTGGAAATATTTTGCGCACATCTCCTTGCGCAGCTATGTAGCTAAGTTACTATATTTAGAAGGGGTTTTCTCGAATACTGATCCCTGATTGGTCAACTTAGGGAATCCCATACGGGCGGCCCTATGGGTATGTCACAAGCGTTGCAACATCGACATAGCATGTTTATAAACATACACAGACGGATTTAGCTCATTTTACCTAGACACCAGGACAGAACGAAGCAGCAGTCAATGTTGTGATGAACTAGTAACGCGGACGAAACGTAGAGGAGATAATGTCAAGGTAGCGACACGCTCCCCGTCCACATGTTCAGTGGACAGACTGACGCACGAGACTAGCGACACGCCGTATGGTGAAAGGAAAATAGCAACAAGGTCCTGAACCTGACTGCATTCTTTTATAGAATTGGTGTTAGAAGAAACGTCCCAAAATGACGCTGGGGAATCTGACAAAGGAGTTTCACAAACTCCAGAAGAATATCAGGACGCTGTCTGGCGGACAGGCTGAGATTGCCGAATGGGATGACGAAGACGTGTCCACTTTCAAGGTGGATGTCAAGCCCCGTGACGGAGTGTACAAGGGGGGCACCTTCTGCTTTAAGGTACTTATTCGTTATTCATATTGATTAAATGTATAATGTTATTTGTGGCGTATGACTCAAAGGAGACATTGGTCATGCTTCAAAATAGTATTCTATGTTATTTCCTTGTATCGTTGAACGTGAAATAGACCTAGATCTATGTTGTGTTGAAATACGTTTTGGATCTAATTTTCTGAACAATTTATCAGTGAACCTGTATTTGAAAATTGAAAATAATTGATGCATTTAGGAAAAGGGAGTGAGTGAATATTGCTTAACGCCGCATCAGCATTTAGGAAAACGGATAGTATTATGCTAGCAATACATGTTCAGTACTCAAAACTCTTAAAATAGCTATGATGAAAGCTCTGTAATGTAACTGAGACCATTATTATAAATGATATACTTTTTCTACCTACTATCTTGAAATTTTCGAAACAGTTTTAATAAAATGAATAATCGGCGAATAATGACAATTAAGTCAGGAATTTGTTATATATAGATCTATATATATATTTCAATTATGTTTCTTATATTATTTGCAGGTGGCACTGGGAGAAACGTTTCCAGAAACAGCACCAGTGATCCGGTGTGAAACACAGATATACCACCCCAACATTGATCCAACAGAAGAATACGATGACACCAATGTCTGCCTGAACATGTTCAACTCGGATGAATGGCAAGAGGCTTATGGGATAGATGGCATAGTACAGGGCCTCCTCTTTCTCTTCTATGAGCCAAACCTGGAAGATCCCTTGTCACCATACTTTGATTCCACATCTGAGGAGGAATTTGAAACAAACGTCCTTGCCTCTCTGAAGGGAGAAATAGTGGAAGGTGTGCAGTATGTGTGGAATTTCGGGGAAAAGGAGACTTCGAAAGAAAATGTTGATCCAGATTCTAATACAACCAAGGGGGATAATTCTAAAAACAATATGGAGGATAAAGCTGATATTGCAAAGGGAGATAACCCCAATGTTGAAGATGTAGTTATTCTCCGAGAGAAGAGACAAGGGGTTGACTTAGATATTATTCGACAGAGGAGACAAGGGATACATTGTGACAATATCAGTATGATCAGTGACCCACAGTGCAATAACCTGTCATCTGCCGATGTGGGGGATCAATCAGACAACCTCCTCCCTGAACCCTGCGACCCCTCCGAAAGTTTCATGGTAAAAACTGAGGACCTGACCACACAGACAAGTGATTCAAATCCACCGGATTTGATTCCCACTGCAAATACTTTGCCAGACTGTCAAGATGTCACCGCGGCATCAGGCAGCTGTGACTTGCATCAGCCACTGGTGGACAGTGGGGGTCAAGATCTGTCCGTCCAGTCCGAGATTAACCTATCACATCAAGGTGTGACTCTATGCTCCTATGATGCTGTCATGCCGGAGATGAACCTGTTCTTCCTAATGATAAACAAACTGACAAAACTGTTCAAAACATGTCCTCAAAAGTGTAAGAAATAAGACATTGTTCTTATAACCTAATTTATATATTTTCAAGTTTTGTTAAAAATACGCTGTGTTTCTATGATGATTAATTTGTCGGAAAACAAATAATCATTAGGATGTATTGTCAACTGCTGTGAAAAGAGCTTGTTACTGAGTGAGTGAGTGAGTGAGACAGTGTTTGTTTCTGTATGTGTGAATGAGACAAGTGCTTGATTCTATGTATGTGAATGACGAGAGACAAGTGCTTGTTTAAATATGTGTGAATGATAACTGCTTGTTTCTGTATGTGTGAATGAGACAAGTGCTTGATTCTATGTATGTGAATGACGAGAGACAAGTGCTTGTTTAAATATGTGTGAATGATAACAGTGCTTGTTTCTGTATGTGTGAATGACAAAAGTGCTATATACTGTGTGTGTGTTTTAAGAGAGTGAGATATATGTGTATCCACAGTCTTTCAATGGTTTGGATATTTCATGTATGGTATTACATTATTATTTATTTGTTGATTAACTCCTGACATTTGCAATACATTGTTTATATATGAATGGTTGCTTGTGTTTTTCTTCATACTTTCCACAGCATTAGCCTTGGTTAGGCAAGTTCAGACATGGGATTATGTCATTACATCTCTCCTCCCCTCCCCCAAAGGGATGGGAGACATATTGTTTTGGAAAATGGTTCCCTTTGGCTTGAGCGTTCCCATCCTATTCCGGGCCATAATTGAAAACCATCAATGTTTTCCAACAAAACTTGGCATATACATTGCTCATCAGGTTAACTGGTGCCTTTTGTTATTTTAAAATATTCAAAACTTTGTTTCATTTACATGGAACCAAGTTGGACTTAGTCTAGGCTTCATTTTCAAGCCATAACTCTCAAACTAATGAATATTTTTGCATGAAGTTATACATGTGCAGCGACCACATCCTCAACTATTGCCTTTTCATATTTTTCATTTTTTTACATTATTTATGCTTTCTTTTGTATCCATGAAAACAATTTGGAATTTCCTACGAGTCTTTCTGCTAAGCATTAGGCTACTGATTGTTCATAATATTGGTCTATATCTACTTGCACACTCATCCAAACTGCTGTTACAAGTTCAATAGTGTTATCTGTCATACAGAGTCAACATGGCATCAACAGTAATACTGCTTCATTACTGCATTAATCAAAATTTGTACCAGTATTTTTTAGCTATTATTGTTTTTCGGATTTGCAAACACATTTATAGTAACAACTTGAACTAATACATAAAAGAAATGAGGGGACAGGCATCAATTTTTATAAGTAAAAATACATTCTAGCTGGCCTTGGTTAGGCTAGTACCCACTAGGGATAATGCCTTTATCCTTGGTAAGTGAAGTACCCTCTTGGGATTATGTCATTAGCCATGGTTAGGCAAATATCACGACGGGGGACACCAGAAATGGCCTTCCCACATTGTACCCATGTCAGGAATCGAACCTGGGTCTTCGGCGTGATGAGCAAAGGCTTTAACCGCTAGGCTACCCGACTAGTAGCCACTTGTCATGTGATAAGCCATTAGGCAAGTATCACTTGACATGATGTGATTAGCCATGATTAGGCAAGTGTCCACTTGTCATGTCATTAGCCATGGTTGGGCAAGTGTCCACTTGTCATGTCATTAGCCATGGTTAGGCAAGTGTCCACTTGTCATGTCATTAGCTATGGTTAGGCAAGTGTCCACTTGTCATGTCATTAGCTATGGTTAGGCAAGTGTCCACTTGTCATGATGTCATTAGCCATGGTTAGGCAAGTATCCACTTGTCATGTCATAAGCCATGGTTAGGCAAGTGTCCACTTGTCATGTCATTAGCCATGGTTAGGCAAGTATCCACTTGTCATGTCATTAGCCATGGTTAGGGCAAGTGTCCACTTGTCATGTCATCAGCCGTGGTTAGGCAAGTGTCCACTTGTCATGTCACTAGCTATGGTTAGGCAAGTGTCCACTTGTCATGTCATCAGCCATGGTTAGGCAAGTGTCCACTTGTCATGATGTCATTAGCCATGGTTAGGCAAGTGTCCACTTGTCATGTCATCAGCCATGGTTAGGCAAGTGTCCACTTGTCATGTCATCAGCCATGGTTAGGCAAGTGTCCACTTGTCATGTCATCAGCCATGGTTAGGCAAGTGTCCACTTGTCATGTCATCAGCCATGGTTAGGCAAGTGTCCACTTGTCATGATGTCATTAGCCATGGTTAGGCAAGTGTCCACTTGTCATGATGTCATTAGCCATGGTTAGGCAAGTGAGTGAGTGAGTGAATATGGTTTTACGCTCCTTTTAGCAATATTCCAGCATATCAAGACGGGGGACACCAGAAATGGCCTTCACACATTGTAGCCATGTCGGGAGTCGATAAGTGGATCGTCTGTTTCAGATTATTTTCAATTATTTATATTATAGTCATGTGGACGGAATATTGCAGTGTGTGGTGTCAAACAACATGCACGAAGGCGCGCAAGCACCCACTCGCATACATTCACAGTCACACACACACACACACAGTATCAAGACCAAGTCCTATGCTTATACTCGATGCCAAGAAAAGTCCACCTTTGTTTAATACTTGATGCCAAGGCAAAGTCCACCAATGCTGATACCTGATGCCAAGGCAAAGTCCACTTATGCTGATACATGAAGCCAAGGCAAAGTCCACCTTTGTTTTATACTTGATGCCAAGGCAAAGTCCACCTTTGTTTTATACTTGATGCCAAGGCAAAGTCCACTAATGCTGATACTTGACGCCAAGGCAAAGTCCACTTATGCTTATACTTGATGCCAAGGCAAAGTCCACCTATCCTAATACTTGATGCCAAGACAAAGTCCACCAATGCTGATACTTGATGCCAAGGCAAAGTCTACTTATGCTGATGCATGAAGCCAAGGCAAAGTCCACCAATGCTGATACTTGATTCCGAGGCAAAGTCCACCAATGCTGATACTTGATTCCGAGGCAAAGTCCACTTATGCTGATACATGAAGCCAAGGCAAAGTCCACTTACGATGATACTTAATTCCGAGGTAAAGTCCACTTATGCTTATACTTGAAGCCAAGGCAAAGTCCACCTTTGTTTTATACTTGATGCCAAGGCAAAGTCCACTTATGCTGATACTTGATGCCAAGGCAAAGTCCACTTATGCTGCAATGATCCCAAGGCAAAGTCCACCAATGCTGATACTTGATGCCAAGGCAAAGTCCACTAATGCTGATACTTGATACCAAGGCAAAGTCCACTTATGCTGATACTTGATGCAAAGGCAAAATCCACTTATGCTGATACTTGATACCAAGGCAAAGTCCATCTATGCTGTTACTTGATGCCAAGGCAAAGTCCACCAATGCTGATACTTGATGCCAAGGCAAAGTCCACTTATGTTTATACTTAATGCCAAGGCAAAGTCCACACATGCTGATACTTGATGCCAAGGCAAAGTCCACTTATGCTGATACTTGATGCCAAGGCAAAGTCCACTTATGCTGATACTTGATCCCAAGGCAAAGTCCATCTATGCTGATACTTGATGCCAAGGCAAAGTCCACCAATGCTGATACTTGATGCCAAGGCAAAGTCCACCAATGCTGATACTTGATGCCAAGGCAAAGTCCACTTATGCTGATACTTGATGCAAATGCAAAGTCCACTTATGCTGATACTTGATACCAAGGCAAAGTCCACACATGCTGATACTTGATGCCAAGGCAAGGTCCACCAATGCTGATACTTGATGCCAAGGCAAAGTCCACCTTTGTTTTATACTTGATGCCAAGGCAAAATCCACCTTTGTTTTATACTTGATGCCAAGGCAAAGTCCACTTATGCTGATACTTGATGCCAAGGCAAAGTCCACTTATGCTGACACTTGATCCCAAGGCAAAGTCCACCTATCCTAATACTTGATGCCAAGACAAAGTCCACCAATGCTGATACTTGATGCCAAGGCAAAGTCCACTTATGCTGACACTTGATCCCAAGGCAAAGTCCACCTATCCTAATACTTGATGCCAAGACAAAGTCCACTTATGCTGATACTCGATGCCAAGGCAACGTCCACTTATGCTGATACTCGATGCCAAGGCAAAGTCCACTTATGCTCATACTTTACGCCAAGGCAAAGTCCACCTTTCCTGATACTTGATGCCAAGGCAAAGTCCACTTATGCTGATACTTGAAGCCAAGGCAAAGTCCACCTTTGTTTTATACTTGATGCCAAGGCAAAGTCCACCTTTGTTTTATACTTGATGCCAAGGCAAAGTCCACTTATGCTTATACTTGATGCCAAGGCAAAGTCCACTAATGCTGATACTTGACGCAAAGGCAAAGTCCACTTATGCTGATACTTGATGCCAAGGCAAAGTCCACTTATGCTGATACATGAAGCCAAGGCAAAGTCCACCAATGCTGATACTTGATTCCGAGGCAAAGTCCACCAATGCCGATACTTGATTCCGAGGCAAAGTCCACTTATGCTGATACATGAAGCCAAGGCAAAGTCCACTTACGCTGATACTTAATTCCGAGGTAAAGTCCACTTATGCTTATACTTGACGCCAAGGCAAAGTCCACCTTTGTTTTATACTTGATGCCAAGGCAAAGTCCACTTATGCTGATACTTGATGCCAAGGCAAAGTCCACTTATGCTGCAATGATCCCAAGGCAAAGTCCACCAATGCTGATACTTGATGCCAAGGCAAAGTCCACTAATGCTGATACTTGACGCCAAGGCAAAGTCCACTTATGCTGATACTTGATGCCAAGGCAAAGTCCACCTTTGTTTTATACTTGATGCCAAGGCAAAGTCCACCTATCCTAATACTTGATGCCAAGGCAAAGTCCACCTATCCTAATACTTGATGCCAAGACAAAGTCCACCAATGCTGATACTTGATGCCAAGGCAAAGTCCACCTTTGTTTTATACTTGATGCCAAGGCAAAATCCACCTTTGTTTTATACTTGATGCCAAGGCAAAGTCCACTTAAGCTGATACTTGATCCCAAGGCAAAGTCCACTTATGCTGACACTTGATCCCAAGGCAAAGTCCACCTATCCTAATACTTGATGCCAAGACAAAGTCCACCCATGCTGATACTTGATGCCAAGGCAAAGTCCACTTATGCTGATACATGAAGCCAAGGCAAAGTCCACCAATGCTGATACATGAAGCCAAGGCAAAGTCCACTTATGCTGATACTTGATACCAAGGCAAAGTCCACTTATGCTGATACTTGATGCAAAGGCAAAATCCACTTATGCTGATACTTGATACCAAGGCAAAGTCCATCTATGCTGTTACTTGATGCCAAGGCAAAGTCCACCAATGCTGATACTTGATGCCAAGGCAAAGTCCACTTATGTTTATACTTAATGCCAAGGCAAAGTCCACACATGCTGATACTTGATGCCAAGGCAAAGTCCACTTATGCTGATACTTGATGCCAAGGCAAAGTCCACTTATGCTGATACTTGATCCCAAGGCAAAGTCCATCTATGCTGATACTTGATGCCAAGGCAAAGTCCAC